TTGTGCAAGTTGGTTTATTTCTTTCATAAATGATTGTACTATGGTCTCTTGGATATTTTACTTTAATCCAAATCAGATGTGAATAGTGTGTTTTTAAGCTTCCAAAACATGATCCAAAATCAATTTGGAGTGAAAATCAAGAGATTTAGGTCAACCAGAGTTTATCTATCTATTTCCAAAATGAGGGATTATCTATGAGTCATCTTGTGTTAATACTCCATAGCAGAATGGAGTGACAGAGAGGAAAAACAATCATTTACTAACCACAACCGAAGCTTTACTTTTTCAAGTAAACGTACCCAAATCCTACTAGGGGGAAGCTATTCTCATTGCCACACATATTATAAATAGGTTACCTTCAAGGGTTTTGGGATTTAAAACTCCTATGAAACTACTCTCACAATTCTATCCCAACTTTAATACCACAAACAACATCACACCTAGGATATTTGGTTGTATATCATTTGTTCATGTTCACAGTCACAATAGGAGGAAGTTGGATCCTAGAGCAATTAAGTGCATTTTTGTGGGATATTCATCAACTCAGAAAGGGTATAAGTGCTACCATCCTCCTACCAAAAAATTCTATGTGCTTGCAAATGTCACTTTTGAAGAAAGTAAACCATTTTTTACTCAACCTTATCTTCAGGGGGAGGCTTCATTCATGGAAGATAAGAATAAAGACTTTTTTTGCTTGATTTGACATCCTCTTCAACATTTTCACCCATTAATTCTTTTGAGTCGAAACCTGTTTCTTTTGAGTCAAAGTCAAACACTGAATTTGAGTTTGAACACATTCCAAACGCAGAAGATGTGACAAAGTATAATATCGTTCTTGATTCTATGAATTACAGGTGTACTCAAGAAGGAAAGCTCCAGATCCTGAACCAATTCAAGTCCAAGAACCGGATCTTAACTCTAGAAATGAGGTAACTACAGTCTTTGACTCTGTTTCTCAAAATGAGCATGAATCTCCTAAAACTATAACTAGTGATTATGATTTGCCTATTGCCATTAGAAAAGGAACCAGAGAATGTACTAAGTATCTACTATACCCAATCTCTAATTTTGTATAATTTAAAAAATTCTCACCATCTCACAAAAATTTTCTTGTGAGCCTAAACACTATTTCTGTTCCAACTACATTATCCGATGCATTATCCAGTGAGAAATGGAGGCAAGCCATGAAAATAAAAATGAAGGCTTTAGAGAAAAATAAGACATGGGAACTAATAAAGTTGCCTAAAAGAAAAAATCTAGATGGGTGTAAATGGGTTTTCATTGTAAAATACAAGACGGATGGTACTATTGAGAGGTATAAAGCGAGATTAGTGGCTAAGGGCTACACTCAAACTTATGGAGTAGATTATCAGGAAACTTTTGCTCCAGTTGCCAAGATGATACAGTTAGGATTTTATTATCATTGGCTGCAAACTACAATTGGTAGGTTTAACAATTTGATATAAAGAATGCTCTTCTACATGGTGATTTGGAAGAAGAAATATTTATGAAAGTTCCACTGGGATTTGGAGGTCATCTAAAAGCAAACAAAATATGCAAACTGAAAAAGGCTTTATATGGGCTTAAACAGTTTCCTAGGGCTTGGTTCGAGAGATTTGTCAAAGTGATGCTAGCAATGGGATATAAGCAGAGTCAAGGAGATCACACATTGTTTATCAAGCACTCTAATTTAGGGAAAGTCACAGTTCTATTAGTGTATGTTGATGACATAATTGTAACTAGAGATGATGAAAAAGAGAAAAAATCTCTAAAACAATGTTTGGCTAGAGAATTTGAGATAAAAGAGCTAGGGATATTAAAGTACTTCCTAGGAATTGAAATAGCTCACTCACAGCATGATATTTTCATCTCACAACAAAAATATGTGATGGATCTTTTGAAGGAAACTAGGAAGCTCACATGTAAACCTGCAAATACCCCTATAGATCCTAATCATAAACTTGAAGAAACTAATGAAAATGCTGCTGTAGATAGAGAAATGTACCAAAAATTAGTTGGAAGACTTATTTATCTTTCACATACTAGACCTGATATAGCATATGCTGTGAATATGATAAGTCAATTTATGCATAGTCCTAAAAAAGTGTACCTACAGGCTGTCTACAGTGTATTGCACTATTTGAAGGCCAATCCTGGGAGAGGTATCTTATTTAAAAGAAATTCGAGGCTGGTTCTAGAGGCATATACAAATGCTGATTATGCAAGTTCAGTAACTAATAGAAGATCCACCTCAGGCTACTGCACTTTCCTAGGTGGTAATCTTGTGACTTGGAGGAGTAAAAAACAGAATGTGGTGGCAAGATCAAGTGTTGAAGCAGAGTTCAAAGCAATGGCTCAAGGAATTTTTGAACTACTATAGTTAAAGATTATCCTAGAAGACTTGAAGATCAAGTGGGATAGACCAATGAGACTCTACTGTGATAACAAGTCTGTAATAAGCATTGCATACAATCCTGTGCAACATGACAGAACAAAATAAATTGAAGTAGACCAGCATTTCATAAAAGAAAAACTAGACGGTGAGTTGATTTGTACACCAAATGTATCAACCAAGGCTTAATTTGCAAATGTATAGCCTAAAGGTCTCAGCAGTGCAACATTTCAAGAAATTATTTCCAAGCTGGGAATGAAAAACACCTATTCACTAGCTTGAAGGGGAGTGTGGGAAAACACTTACTTACAGCTAATTGTAATCTTGTAACCTGTATATTTATATTTGTATCTCTAAAATTAAATATTTGTATCCCTAGAATTAAGGACAAAAAATTAGAATAGACAATCTCTCAATTATAGGATCAATTTTAGAAAGATTTAGTTTCCTAGTTTACCCACTAGTTAGTTATATATAAACTTAAGGTACTTGCATAGTTCTTTATGAGCAGTTTTTCAAATATACATTAAGTTTTACTATTAGTTTTCCACACAATTTTATTTCTTAGTTTTTCCACATCTCTGCATCTTCAAACAATAATCATGGGATGAATATAAAGATCAGCACACCTACAGAAAGTAAAATTCACAGGATGACAGAAGATAACAAATGGACTGTGCAAAGCCCAGGTGGACTTGTAATCTAGAGCAATCATGGGCACATTATCCACTAATAAGAATGCACTATATAATATGAAAGTTGTAATACATGAAACTAGACAGGGAAATTAGAAATTATTTAACATAATTCACATTTCACAATGGCTGACATAACAGATCACATTAACACAAACTTTTACTTAAACTTTCCATAGCAGTTCAATATAATAACAAAGAGTAAACACTAATGGCAGGCCTATCAGCAATACACAATAATGTACATGTAAAATACCTACATTAAGCTACAGCCTACATGCAATAATATTATTACTTAAAGCAAGGATCAATTGAAAAAAGAAAAAGAAGTTTAAACTTTAACACAACATGCATACGGTCAAACAAGGAGGGAAACCTCACCGCTAGACCTTCAATGGAACCCAGGTGGATCTAAAATGCTTTGCAAACTCGATCCCAATAGCCTTTTTCTTCCAAAATTTCGAATGCCCTAGAGTAAAAATAAATAAATAAATAAAATGAAGAAGGATGAACAAGCAATCGACAAAAGTATAAGCTGGTAACTAAACTCCATGCGGAAAGCCTCAAATATTACTGATCAAACTTAAACCAAAAACCAATAGGAGAAAACAAGAAGCATTTTCACTTAAAGCAGACATTAGAAAATGGATCTTTTAGATATTGTTTATGGATATTGGCATCATAAAACTTACCATCAACACTTCCAGTAATGAAAAAATCTGCTGATGATACAGCCACATGAGTAACCACATCTCGAGGCATATAGCTTTTCTCATACCTACAAAGCACAACAAAGACATAAAATCAAGAATTCTCTCAGCTCTATTCACAACTACAATTTGCTAACTTTACTTATATTACTAAGAAATTAAGACTTCTTTTGTTGTTGTCATTACTACTTGCTTGTTATTTTTTACTTCAGAAAACTAAAGGCAAAAGCTTGAATTCTAAAACCCTAAACCCCTAAGGAATGAAAATAATTTGGAATTTATAAAAAGCACGAAGCTTGAATTCTAAAACCCTAAACCCCACTTGAATGAAAACAATTTGGGATTTATAAAACCCTAATTAATCCATGAGAAAATACCAACATTCCACCAATAATTAGATAATTTGCTACAAAAAAAAATAGTTGAACAAGGGAAGAATGCGGATAGTTACATGTCGGCTGAAGGAAGGGAATCGAGATATAATTGTTCGAACTGGAGAGGGCGCTTGGGTCGGGCTCGAGGGGTGGGTCGGGGCCCTATTACCGCCTCCTCCTCCTCGGCGATTGTATTCAAATGTTCCATCAGCGTTTTTTCTTCACTTCTTTTTTTCCTTTTCTGATATATCGAGGAATAGAGAGTGACAGAAGAAGAAGAAGAAGAAGAGGAAAAAGTTCAATGGGTTCCAACATATGGGCCGATATGCCAAAATATTAGCCCAATGGGTTCAGCATTAAGCCCAAATGTGGAAGAGATAAGACCCATATGATCTTAGAATAATATAAATGGTGGCGAAAATTCCAGGGAGATGAAAACAAGTGGAAAACAAATCTGCATGGAGATGTCAGTGTCACTTCCTTCTCTCATTCTTCTGAGGTGATTGTTTTTAAATTTGAAGTGAATGGAGTTCGTTTTTTTTTTGCATGGGCTAGGGCTTGAAGTTTCCATGTTGTCTTCAAAACAAAAACTACTTAGACATATGACCTCACATACGGACAAGTAGACATACTGAACAAAAAAAAGTATGTTTGACATGCATGCTTTATTCCCCTAGCCAAACAATATCTTGTCGCGATGAAGTTTTCATTCTTTATCTCATGTATAAGAATATATACAAATGTCCTGATTTAAAAGACGGCCATGGCATGGCCCCAAATGGCGGCATAAGCAGTTGGGATTCTTGAATTTTTCTTATTTACTGATCATTTCTTTACTTCACCTAATAATAGTCCAATTTGGTCGCCGGACAGCCGTCGTCTGATGCAACTTCTCTACTAAATGGTGGAGGGACATATGGTGGGGGTGTACATCTTAGCAATGCCCAGTTGACCCCTTGGAAGAATGGATGGTGCTTGATGGCTGATGCTCCCATTGTGGACCCTAACCGCCTTGCAGGATCCTTAACCAATAGCTGAGATATAAGATCCTTGGCCGCTATGGGAACCGTGGGTTCTTTGGGGAACTCAAGGGCTCGAGCCACAATGTTAGCTAAGGTTAGTTCATGGTCTACACCCTTAAATGGTGTTACCCCATAAAACAGTTCATGCATAAAGATCCCAAGTGTCCACCAATCCACAGGGCTACCATGGCCCTCACCGGACACAATTTCCGGTGCCAAATACTCATGCGTCCCGACGAAAGACATGGACCGGACATCAATGGGCTCGGCCACAAACTCAGGACCACTGCGGTGGCAAGTCTTCTTTTTGCTTTTGTGTTTTGGGTGGAAACATGACACAGCAGGTACTATACAATTTGGAATAATGCATGGAGAGGAGGATGTGAAACGAGGATGATCAATAGGATAGTCGCTTTTCGGAGCTGGAACTGGTGATTTTTTATCAGAAATAATCTGGGGCGTTGATGTAGAATCATCACATTTTAACGACAGGTCAAAATCTGTGAGCATAATGTGACCATCTGATCGAACAAGCACGTTTTCAGGCTTTAGATCACGGTAAACAATCCCCAACATATGAAGGTACTCCAGAGCTACCACCACCTCCGATGCATAGAACCTGCAGACACCGAGAATTTAAAAAAAAAAAAAAAGATTAAAAAATACAACCAAACAATTACCTATAATTTTAATCACTTTTAATTATCTTATTACGTTAATTGTACTAGCACATAATACAATATTAATAATTAATATAACAAGCTAAAAAATTGATGGGATCATTATATAATTCGAAACTAGATTAAATTAAGTTAATTGTTCAATTAAAAAATTAATGACAATTTTTCTTTATGGGTCTTGTGATCGCATGTTATGACAGATTTTTAATTTGCCGTCTGATTGAGTTGGTTCTGAATTTAACAAATTTTTTTGTCCAGAAGATATATCGGGCGATTGAGAGAATATGATACAAAATCAAGTTTTTATATCTCCATCAAACACCTTAATTATTCTTGGAGATTGAATCTAACAATTAATTTTAATCAATATGAATATTAAAATGACAAGTAAAAAATATAAAAATAATATAATTTAAAATTTTAATAAAAATTATATATATTTAAAAAATAAAAAATATATTTCATATTTAATATATCAACCTAAATTATAATATAATAATTTTTACATTTTATATTTTTTTATAAAATAAATACTATATAAATATATAAATTATTATCTCCATTTATCTGTGAAAAAAAACTCTTTTAAAATATTATCACCATTTGGCCAGCGAAGCAAAGGCACTGTACTTGATGCGACATTTGAGCACAGTGCATTAATGAGCCCTTGTACCCAAAAATATATTAGCGTGGCATTGATGCGAAATTTGAGGTACTAGACTCCAAAACTGTACTTAAATTCAAGTGTTGGCTGAAAAGTCAACTATCAAACACGTTTTGACCATAATACGGAAGCCAACCCGCCGGATCTACCCTCAATCATAACCAAAATAACGAAATGAATCTGATCCGATTTCCACCGAGTAACAATCACCTGGGCCACAGGTTTCGAGCCCTTTACTTCCCATCCATCGCCTTCAAATTTTCAAAAAATAAAATTTCAAATATGTAAAAAATTTAAATTTTGTTTGATTTAAGAAAATATTTCTTGTTTTTGTTTAAATAATTTTTTTCTAAAAATGCATTTGATAAATAAAAATAAAAATTATTTTTAAATTATAAAATAAATAAAAGATTTAATTATTTATTATTAATAACATTATAAAATATTTAAATATAATAATTTACAAAAATATAAAAATAAAAATTATATTTCTTAGTTTCATAATTAAAAATACTTTTTATTATTTTTATATTTTAATCTATTTTACTTTTATCTTTAAAAATTTTATTTTCATTTTTAACTATCAAATAAAATTTTATTCATATTTTTATTTTTTTAAAAATAAAAATAAAAAATAAATTTTTTTTTAAACGAAACATTACCTGAACTTTTTTTTTTTAAAAAGGACGTTAACGGTTAACGGAGAGAATGTACCTGACGGCGGATTCGGAGAAACGTTTGAAAGGTTGACATTGACGAAGGACGTGAAGGTCGCCACCGGGACAAAACTCCGTTAACAAACAGAGCCATTTAGGGGAATCGATGGCAGCGTAAAGTGAGGGTAAAAAAGGATGGTCCAACAATTTGAGTATTTCCATCTCAGTCTTTGCTCTCTTTTCTTTACTCCTCGACGCTAGCTCTTTCTTGTCCATCACTTTCGCTGCAAAGACGACTTCGTTTTTTTTGTTGTTGATATTGTTACTGTTTGTGCTTGCGGCATTGGTGTCAGCAGGTGGGGGTTGAGACTTGAGTTCGGCTAAGTAGACGGAGCCTATGTCTCCGGAGCCGAGGCGGAGGGAGAAGCGGAGGTCGGCGAGGGAGAGGGAGCCGGAACGATGGGGTTTGGAAGAGAAGGAACCGTGAGCAGAGGGAGCGAGGGAGGAAGAGCCGGAGTTGGAGGCAGAGCCAAAGCTAGTGCTGCTGTTTATGGTGACGGTGGAAGCGGAAGTGGAGGTGAAGCTTAGGCTTTGGAGATCGTCGGCTAAGTCTTCGAGCCACGGCCCCATTGTTTACATACAGAGAGAAAAAAAAGAGAGGGAGAGACATGGAGTGAACGAGAGAGGCAGAGAGAGAACTATATTTGATATTTGGCTGATGGGTCGGGTTTGGTCTTGTGCTGAAAAGGGGCCCATATGATTAGTTGGATCTTGAATCTTGATTCGTTTCCTCTTCTGGAAATGGGGGCCCTCTAATTTAAAGCTACCTTTGGGAATCAAATAACTAGGTGACAGTCAATCCTAGCTAGGATTTAATTATTTTAGGTAAATATTTTGTTGTTATCGCTAAATAAATTGTATATTTTATAATTTTTTTAAAAAATTCATTTTGAAATTGATAACCCTTTTTACAATTTTTTTTTTTTTGCTTCTAGAAAATAATGAGGTAGCTAGTTAATTTTTTTAGATATAATAATTTATGTATTTATGTTATATTTATTTTATATTAAATATATATAAAATATAAAAATTATGATATAATAATTCATATCAATATATTAATTATTAAATATATTTTTTAATTTCTATCAAATACATACCTTCAAATAATCCTTTGACCCTCTTTGTACTTTTCCATTTCTCCCTTATTAACCTAAAATGAGGTGAATTTACATCCATACGGGTTAATATTACTGGGATTTTAACTGAGATTTTGCGCACGAATAGTAAATAACTTCCTTTAATGAAATAAATAAATAAAATCACCTAACAGTTAAAAAAAATTAAAGACATGCAATATAATATTTTCTTTCTTCATATTAATATTAAAAGATATAAAAATAATGTAATTTACAAAGAAATTTTAACGATTAAAAATTAAAATTTATTTTAAATGTTTGGAATTTAAACTTTGAGATAAATAAAGTAAAATTTATAAGAATGGAGGAGAATAAGGCTTATTCTGTAGTCTAATATTATTGCTTATTATGATATTAATTAAAAGGGTTGAAATCCTTTTTATGTATCGAAAAATTATGCGTTCATAATTTTTTTCATATTTAAAATTATTATAAATTAAAATTTTAATATTTTATATATTAACGAGATCACACGTACGTAAATGAGTATAAAAGTATAGCAAATGTTGGCACGAATTAATGATGCAACATTAATAAGTCACCAAGGTCTATCCGTGGAAGCTATTTCTTCATTATCATGGTATTCTTGGCCATCATTACAACCAGCACAAATAAAGAGCGAGTTGTTGACTGATATGATATGCATTGAGTATATAGTTTGATGACCACCTTCTTCACCATTACTATCTCACCCCATTTTATTTTATCGAGAACGACCAGGCAATAACAGAAAGCCGAATGCCGATTCACACAACACCAACAACCACTGTTTCACATCAAAGCGAGATAGATATAACCCATGTCTAATTAATGGTCGATTTGATCCGCTCGGCTTGGCTGACTCTCATTAATATTTTTTAGCATTTATACAAGACGTTTCCCTATTACTTTCATTCATATTTATAATGAAAATGACACATGATAAATTGTTAGATCTAACATGTATTGATATAATTTTTGATCCAGTAAATTTAGAGTATGTTGAAGATTGAGCTGTTGATTGTTAGATCTGTAAAAATAATAAAATTAGGAGACGTACAAGTTAAATGCACTTCAATATTTAAGTTAATGGAGTTTCTTCAGAAAAAGAAGAAACAAAAGAGAATATAACATAAGAAAATAGAGAAAATGTAAAATTGAAAAAGTTGCCCTTTTTTATATATTTGATAAACGATAATGTGATTAAATGAATAGATAATTATCATTTTTAAAATTATATATAATAATCGATGATTTGATAATTAAGATATTGATAACGTAACTATTTAAGTATAATATATCGATAAGATCTTATATGTAATTTGTATAATTAACATGCATGTTGAATATCAAAACTACCTGTAAAAGACCAAAAATATATATATCATGTATCACAAGGCCCTTCCATATCATGTTTTCATGCAACATTGACAACTAAATAATGTGTGCTCCTCAGCATATTGTTAGCTGGTTTATTTTAAGTATTGGCTCACCTAATAAAAAGAGTTAATAAAAGGAGGGGCTTCTCTTCGTGATCCATTTGGCTTCTGTCAAGACATGCAATTGCTTCCCAAGAAAAAAAAAAAAAAAACTAATTAATTTCATGATATAGTACTTATAATTGCAATTGCTTACCATGCAAGTGTGTTGCCCAAAAAAATGAAACCAATTCTACAGCATGATTGATCCAGAGCCTTCTTTTCCAAACACGAACTCTTATTAAGTCTTCGTTCAAGAATTCAATGTATACTTTTCATTAATTTTTTATTGATATTAAAGAAATCAGATTCTGAAAAATAATAAGAGAAAGAAATTCGATCCCAATAAAACAATAATCTTTGATTTGCTTGATCCGTCAAATTAGAGTTCTATAATGATGGTTAAAACAATAAGATTTTATCTACCAAAACAAGTTAAAGCAAGAGAAACCCACACTGAAAATTATATTTAAATCTCTAAAGCAACATTTCCTCTTTCTTTTGTTCTTCTAGTTTTTTTTTTTTTTTTTGTGGGGGGTTGTTATCATTGTTAGAAGATAATCAAATTAATATTATATTTAGATGAACGTTGAGATTAAAATTAATAATAAAAATTATTATAGTTATAATTGAAAAAAAAAGTTAAATTAAAAAGATAAAGTTTAATGAAAATTTTATATTAAATGAATTTTATTGAAATTAATATTTAGATTTAATTGATGGTACGATAAATTCAATTATACCACAACAAAAATATGATGAGCTCAATCACACCACACCATAAATGTAGTAGAATCTAAACTTAGTCTAAGGCTTTTTCATTGTAAAATATCATTACCTTCAAGTGTAATACATTTGGTCGATCACCAATCCATGCTATTCTTCTTGTGTCCCCTTTAACCATTTTATTCGCATGTCCTTCAACTTTTGTTTATCAACTTTTTGTTTACAATTAAGGGTGTAAATGATACATTAGTACTTATAAGTTACTCGGATTCGATTCGAAAAAAACTCGAATTCGATTCGATTATTATCGAGTCGAGCTCGAGCTTGAGTAATTCGACTTATCGATCGAGCCAAATTTGAATATTTTTATATCCGACTCGAGTAGCTCGCGAGTCTAATCGAACTTTTATATTTAAATATATTTTTATTATTTTAATTAATAAAATATTTTAAGTCCGAATTCGAGCATGAATAATTGAATTATTGTCGAGTATACAAATCAAACTTATTTTTACATATTAATCGAACTTAATCGAACGAGCTTGAGTAGCTCGAATTCGATTACGAATCGAATTTGAGCTTGAAAAATAAAATTCAATTGAACTCCAAATTATGACTCGAGCTCGAATTTCTTACTATTCGACTCGATTCGATTACACATTTATTTACAATACAATATTACACTCCGAAAAAGTGCTGATAAAAAAGGAGAATTTTGCTGTGAAATGGTAGGTTAGTTGATTTTAAAGCCATGTCTTAAACCTACAAATTTTTATATCATAAACCCTATAATTATATGCATATTTTTAATTAATTATTACAATTTAATACAAAATAGTGTTTTTTAGAATGTTATATGTCAAAGACGTATATAATTTCACAAAAAAAAAAGTAGGAAATTATATCCCCTTAATTTCTTGATTTTATGGGTGATAATATATTAACTTTGCGTGCCTCTACCATGTATAAACCATGGCCTTTATAGGGCCTTCAACGTTTCTCGAATGGGGGTCAAGGACAAGAGCCATGCCGATAAATATCGTTAGAAAGGGGGCCTTCGCCCTTGTTGTGGACACACCTACCAACCTTGTATCCAAGGCCCATCGCCATATCCCAATTCAACTTCTCTAGTAATCGTCATTCGTGATGTAAACAAATAGATCTTTTTATGAATGATATGGAATAAAATTAATTTTTGTTTATTTATATTTTTTTATTAAATTTAATTAATAATTTTAAACCAAAATTTTACATTAATTTATTAAAATAAATACGAATAAAAATTTATTTGATTTATTTATATTAATAATCAAATTAAAATTTTTTTAACTCATTTGTTAAAAATTTGTTTATATTAATTTATTATTTAATAATATAATACTATTTTTATTTTTTATTTTAATTTTATTTTAAAATTTATTTATACTTATTTATAATTTATTTAATTATAATTTATTATTATTTATAAATATATTTATTTAATATTCACAAACTCATTTAACTTAATCAATCAAATATAAATTAAATACAAATATTTTATTATTTAAATATATCAGTAACAATGATAAAAAAGCAGAATTTCTGTCGGTAATTTTTTTGGTGCTTAACACATTTTCTGTTTTTTCCGCCATTACAGACGAAAAAGAAACAGTCGAGCAGCAGCAGCAGCAGTAGAACAAGGGGAAACTTCTTGTGATTTGCATATCTAACTTTTCGTTTCCTTTCCCTCTCTCCATCTCTCTTCATTCACTCAATTCACAATTTTCTCTTATTTCTTCTCTTTTTCCCTCCTCTGTGCTAACCCTAACTATACCCTTTACGTGTCTCTAGCTGCCCAAATTTTCTTAATTTCTCTGCTTTTCTTTTTTTTTTGGTATCTTCAAAGCCAACGCTCTTTTAGGCACTACGTATTTCCCAGTTTCAAAGGTACCCTTTTGATCATTCTCTGTTTTAATTTTTAATCTTTTTAACTTTTCTGCTTTGGTTTTTTGAGTTTTAGTTGTTACTGTGCTTTTCCTTTTGATTCAAGTTCTTCTGCTGTGATTTTTTTTGTAACTTTAGAGTTGAATCTTGGTATTTGTTGCTCTTGCTAGTTTTTGAGAGGAGATAAAGTTTTGTGATTCTGTAATAGTTATGCTTTTTAGGTTTGAGAGCTTAAGTTTTTATGCTGCTTTTAGGTATGAAAATTGTTGTTTGCACGTGGTGGTAGGTTGTTTTCATTAAGCCAAAACTCAAAAGCCATGATGATGAGATTTTAGTTGAAACTCAAACTTAAGAGTTAGTTCTCGATAGGGCTTTCAAGGAAATTCAATTCTTGACTACTGTTATACTTCTTTAATTTTGAAAAAAGTAAATGAAGTTTAGTCATTTCGTTAATTATTTTTAGTGCAGAATGGAATGAGTGTTGGTGGATTATACAGGTCCTTTTATGGAATTGTGCAGGATCGTGTTACTTCAGTGGCAGTTTTTTCTTTTGGTGGCTTCTATTTCTTTGAAACTTTGTGATCATTGTGGAATTTGAATGCTGTAGTTTGAAATTAAGAAGTGGTGTTTGACTAGCCGTTCAAATCTGAGAACCATTATGATCCTAGATAATGTTGAGGGATATTTGAAGTTGTCTTATTACTCAGTTCTACTCTATCTTCGAAATGCTTATTCAGAACTGGGCTAGAGTAAGTTTGCAAAGCCATAGTTCTCTTGCGTAGTCTTTGAGTTGAACTACAGAAAAGATGGATACTTTACCTAGTACTTCTGAAATTATTGAATCTGCTGATGAGTTAGATGCTGAACTGAAAATGGGAGAGCATGCTAAGAACCACTGTATTCCAAGATCAGGAAATAAAAATTCCATCGAGGACGATATTAACCGTCTGTTTGAAGCAATCGATATTAGGACATCTTCTAGGGTTTCTGGTTTCTCAAGTGAAATTGGAAGAGATGCTTTACGAAAGAGTGCAATGAAAAGACCAGTTAAAGTTGGTTCTTCTCAAGCTTCTGGGATTGGAATTTCTGAACCTGTGAGCTTGAAGCAGGCACTTAGAGGATTGTGCATCTCCCAAGCATCGGAGATGGCTGCTATGAAGAAGCGATTATCAAAGCCAGCAGGTTCTTCAGGGGTCTCAGAAGCGGGAACCATCAAAAGGTTGTACAGGGCAATAGTAGTTGAAGCAAATGGATCTGGTATTCCCCTAAATGAAGGTAAAGGGAATTTAGTGGAAATCTCCCTTATTCCGGAAAAGATTAAATCAAATTCTTCGTACAAGGTGCCTGAATTATTGCAAGTGCCAAATAAGGAGGTTTTCAACCAAAATTCCAGTCCTTCAGATAATGCAATGACAGAAAAGGCAATAATCACCAGATCACCATCCCCAGATCATATTGTTCCTCTGGTCACAGGGTCTGACAGTGAAGTATCAAAAGCAGAACTTAAAAAACTAAATTCTATATATTCTTCCTCTGTTAATTATGCTGCTGAGGAAGCCTTGGAGACAGGTTGTTCCTCAATCCAGGTTAGTGTTGAAATTCCTGTGCCTGGTAAGGAGCCAAAGGGTAAGTTGCATGCTGAATCTTCTCTGTCTGTTTCCAGTGCTGCTGGTAAGGTGAAATCTATTTGTGAAGCTCCATGTTTAATCAAGCCAGTCTTTAGGAACAAGAGCTTTATAAGGAAGAAACCAAAGCATGAATCAACTTCTGCTGTGAGCAGTTCCAATTCCTGTAATGGATGTCTCAGCGATGATCTTGGCCCTAGTACTAGTTATTCAGGTAATCGAACTGAGACACATGCTCCAGGCAATGGAAGAAAGGAAAGTATGAAAGTTTCTCCAGTTTCCAGTAGTACAAATCGCAGCATTGAAGTTAACTCAAGCATGGCAGGAACAAGTTTCAAATCAACTTTGAGTTCAAACTGTAATAACAAATCCAAAGCCCAGTTGACCAAAGATGATGACAGATCAAGATCAAGGGAAAAGAGAGAGTTTTCCCAGAGCTCTAAAAGTAGCATTGGGGAGTATAGTAATAGCACGACCACTAGTGAAGAAAGCAATATCAGTGGGTCTAGTGGGAGTGGTAGCAGACCTCACATGTCAAAAGATTTGAGGTGGGATGCTATTCACTCTGTTCAGAAGCAGCATGGAAGCTTGAGTTTGAGGCACTTCAAGCTCCTCAAGAAGCTTGGTTGTGGGGACATTGGGACCATTTATCTTGCAGAGCTAATTGGTAAAAACTGCTTATTTGCTTTAAAAGTGATGGACAATGATTTTTTGTTGAGCCACAAGAAGATGCCTAGGGCACAAACAGAAAAGGAGATAATGCAAATGCTTGATCATCCTTTTCTTCCCACGCTATATGCCTATTTTGCAACGGAAAAACTTTCTTGCTTGGTTATGGAATATTGTCCAGGTGAAGATTTGCATGTGTTACGACAGAAGCAACCTGGAAGGAGTTTCTCTGAACAAGCAGGAAGGTAGCATCTATCTCTTAATGATGTTAAGATATGCTTCTCGTTTGGGATATAACACTGTTTTGGTGGAAAGGAATTTTTAGTGTTCATTGTCTCTTGTTTTTAATTTTATCTATTTCTGATTCTGCACAACTAATAGAAAGACATGCAGGAAAATAGGGAAGAGAAAAGACTGTTTGTATTCTTCTTGGTACTCATTCTTCTCATCATTAGTTGTTTGTAATTTCAGTATATACCTACCTATCATATTTAATAAGTCACAACGAAAAAGGAAAAGGAAAGAAAGCAAAAAAATGTTGTCATATTGACATCTTAGGATGATTATGAATTGGCAGTTGCCGTCATGAGAACTCACGCACCTTAGAAAAGGATAGAAAATTTTCAATTGAGTGAAAGCATTGTAGATTTAAAGTGGTAACTTATATGGAGTAAATCTTAATGATAATTCCCAAATTGAGATTCCTTTATATTGGTTGATGTTCATGCAGATGCCATTTGCTTGATTTTGATGTCCCTCAAAAGATCATGCAAGTTATGGAGGTTAAAGTCAAATTCATACCAATAGGTATCTGAGGTTTTAATCATAATTAAAATTGCTGTAGGTTAGAATTAGATTTGAATAAACATTATAATGGTCTTTTTAGACCTTGGAATGGTGAAAATTAGGTGTTCCTAGGATGTGGCTAAGGATACAATATACTTCAATATTTTTGATGTTGTAATCTGCATTGAGTTCAATATGAGTGCATGCATTGAGCAGGCTTTGATTTCCAGATTTTTCACTGCTTGCATGTTTAAGTGTGCATGTTCCTATGCCTTTGCTTCGATTCTTTCTATTTGGACCAGAAGCACAACTTCATCTCGAAGAGAGGACCATTTTGTCTATGTCTAATAGTATAAAATTGAAGAATATCCGGATGCTTTTTTCATCAACAATTTCTTATCCACCTGGTTTTCTGATGTTTTTGTTCCAATTTCTGGTTTTCATTTGTCCAGGTTTTATGTTGCTGAAGTCCTCCTTGCATTGGAGTACTTACACATGCTTGGTGTTGTATATCGAGATCTGAAACCAGAAAATATCTTGGTTAGAGAAGATGGTCACATCATGCTCACAAATTTTGACTTTTCACTCAGATGTGCTGTTAATCCAGTGCTGCTTAAATCCGCTTCACCTGTTGTTGAGCCTGCAGAGAAGATGTCAAGTCCATGCTCTGAATCCAGCTGTATTGAGCCTTTCTGCCTCAATCCTTCCTTTCAAGTCCCATGCTTCACCCCTAGGCTTCTATCTCTTGCTTCCAAATCGAGGAGGATAAAGACTGATTTAGCTACTCAGGTTAGCCCCATGCCACAGCTTGTAGTGGAGCCAACCAGTGCCCGGTCAAACTCATTTGTTGGAACACATGAATACCTTGCTCCAGAAATCATCAAGGGTGAGGGTCATGGGAATGCTGTTGATTGGTGGACATTTGGAATCTTTCTGTTTGAACTTTTGTATGGTAAAACTCCCTTCAAGGGTTTAGGAAATGATGAAACGCTATCCAATGTGGTGTCACGTAGCCTCAGGTTTCCTAGTAGCCCGATAGTTAGTTTTCAAGCAAGAGATTTGATGAAAGGGCTTTTAGTTAAGGAACCTCAGAATCGATTAGGATCTGTAAAAGGAGCTGCAGAGATCAAACGGCATCCTTTTTTTGAAGGCCTAAATTGGGCTCTGATACGTTGTGCAACACCACCTGAGATGCCAGGGTTCTGCGGCACTGGTATCTATGCACCAACTTCAGCTAGGCAGAAAAAGGACAGCTCCAAAGGCGAAGAACTGCTGGGCATAGAAGACAATATGGAGTTTGACATGTTTCAGCCAGGGTTTATCTGACGTGGGAAGGGAAGATGTTTCGGTTTTCTTTTTAACAGCGAGGTTTCTGATCCTGTTGTAACTGATATATATATATATATATATATATGTATGTATGTATATATGTATGCATGTATGTATATAGCATATAGTGTAAATTTAATTCAGAAAATTGGCGACAGGTTATTACTATGATAGAAATATACGGTAGAGCTAGGTAAGCCGTCAAAAAGTACAGCACCATCTTGATTTTCACAGCAATCATTCAAGCCTGTGAGCCCCACTGTTTCAAACTGAATGCTGTTGGAAATCAGTATTTACATAAATACATCCATTTCTCAGGTCCTGCCTGTTTGATTTACTTGAACCAACGGTATGAAAGGTAGTTTCTGTTCAGCGACTTAGATAGGAGCTTCTATTCTTGTTTTTATTTTTAACCCTTTGTAAAAATAAAATTTTTTAAACACAGTAATTTTATAACATCGGTATTATTGTTACATAGATTTATTCTATTCGGAATTTTTCTCCTACAGGGATCGAAGGAAAATGCATCATGGAAAAGGTTGTAATAAACAGATATTGAAATGCATTCATAAATCATGAACTCTATAATTTCTATAGAAAGTGAATTGCTTTCTCCGCGGATGGAAAACATGTTTCTATCATCCATTCAGCCTCTAATTCAACATCTAAAAGCCTCGAAAGTAAATTTATCCAGCCAAGATAATCATTCAGTTGTAGAAGAACTCGTATCGGTATCAATAACAGCTAGACTATCATGTCCTTTACCTAAATAGACATGTAAGGATTCAAAATAATCTAAATTTAAATCAGTATTTTTCTTGTTACCATCGGACATCCTCCTTCACATGTCACTTCACATATCCGGATAATGGGCTCATCATGTGGTATAAAACCTTAGAATAAGTAACCCTAACAACACTATTACAGTAGTTAAGCAAATAATTAGATAAATAAGCCAAATCTGCTTTGATATCATGTTAAATTTTATGATAGACATCCATGTTAAGATCAAATGTCAATAAGTCTCGAAGCATATTATTTTTAATATTGAGGATATCCAAAACTTAATAAATAATTTATTTTTATCTTGGACATGTCAAGTACATGTCTCCGAAGGGTCCTCGAAGCAATCTACTGAACCTATTTTTCCTTCTGCTACGCAACCTTTTACAGGGCTAAACCCCATGGGTTTGCAGGGCCAGCCCCAGGGCCAGGATCAGTCTACTGAACCTTAGATGGAGGTTTAAATTTGATAGCCTTATTGATATCAATGATAGGTATGATTCTGGAAATCTAATTAACAAACTCTATCCCTGTGAAAGGAGTTGCCGCTTGAAGTTGTAAGGCAACATCACCAACAATCTACAATTAGCAAAAATAAGAGGCACAATCGTACTCAGAAATCAAAGTTATACAATTAACGGAACAAGCGAAGAGAATGAGACAATACTTTAGACCAAAGCCTATTTCAAGCTTTTACTGCAATTTTCAGCATATAGGAAACAAGGATTTAAGCAGAATTGGATCAAATCTAGGCTTATGAGAGATCGTCTAGAAGAGAATGCTTTTATAATTAAAGATGAAATTCATTTTACTTTCAACGACCAAATCCTTTGATAAGATCCATACCTTGGCCATTGATCTAAAAGAATGTTCAGTAACGCCAGCAACATGAGGTGTAATTATAACATTCTTGAATTTCAAAATTGGATCATCAGGGTCAAAAGGTTCTTTCCATGCAACATCAATTCCTAAACCTCCCAGGTGCCCTGACTCAAGATGATGCACAACAGCCTCGTAGTCTAAAAGACCCCCTCGACCAATATTTACCAGAAGGGCTCCCTGAAATGACACAGTATTATTAAGATAAACATCCACCAATATAGCACACTATTAGTGCAACTATTTCGAAAGAAAATTAAACACTGAAAGTTTATTGAAAACAATATATTTAACACACATGCTATGAAAACATGTGTGATGTGAAAAAATTTTCCCTAGTTTTATTTTCTGTTTTCATAACTATGATTACAACTAAAAAAAAAAAACGTAGAGAACCTGAAACTTAGATCAATTAGTTCATGCAACCACTTTTAAAATATGATATCTAGTAAATTTGAGTTCAGATTCCAGCATCACGATCCTTTTTTTTTTTTTGCCAGACTACGGCTTTCTTTGTTAAAAAAAAAAATTAGTAGAGTTCCCTCCACAACTTTGGAGTGCATTTGAAACAAACCTTTTTCATTGAAGATATGAACGACTTGTTTACAATGCCAACCTGAAAATTTGAGATATCTCAATTGTAGCAGATGCACACAAAAACATGGCCAGACAATATCATTTTCTGTGAAAGCGGATATGAACAGCCTTACCGTTTCTTTATTTAAACTCAAGCAACAGACAACTATGTCAGCATTGCTGGCAAACTCGTAAATATCTCCATGATTTCCTTTCTTGTCAACCAAATCATCAACGACCCTGTTTTGAATTGGAACTGCTGAATATTCAAAACATACTGAATGAAAATGGCTTCACAATTGAGCTCCACTATTTACTTAATGAATCATGTATACCTTTTGGGACAGGAACTTGCAAATGTGAGGCCCCGCTCCTTATTATAGCAACTATTTTAACACCGAATGGTTTCAAGCGCATAGCTAAATTAATTCCAATATTTCCAAATCCCATTATAAAGATCTGCACAAGCAGGGTATAAAAATAATAAGTAAAATATAAAATTAACACATGAAATCATGGACGCTATGGTTTGAAACATGACACATCCACCTTAATGGTGAATGAAAGATGTTAATGGAGTAATTTTTTTTCAAAAAAAGATAATCAGATTTCTGTGCCTAGAATTCAATTGCAAACAAGATCATCAGAGACTAACATTTCATTTCCAGATACAAGCGTCTAAATAAACAAGTTGAAATGTATTAATTCTCTTATTCACAGTTATCTGTTTTCTGCTCTCCTTTGGTATGCAAAATCTTAATGCGTTGGGGTAACATATGCAGGGATACCATAAATGATGTCCCCTAACATTGCAATTTCTAAGGAAAAACATGAGAAAATGGACACAACAACTGTAGATTGATTTTGCTTGTATCCAATGTTGAATGTCTCATCACAGACAATATTCCATTTCATGCCTGAATCAAGGTCAAAATTTTTTGGCTGTCTGGTTGTCTTCCTTCACCATGAAACTAAGCAAACTAGTTTGTATCATCTGTTACGCGAGAATGCGATGAAGTTTTTGTTTTTATTTTCTATTGAACTTGTCTAATAGTATTAAAACTATGAAGTTCGAGAATTCACTCATCGAGTATATGACTAGCAAAAGTCACCATAATGAAAAGCAAAAGAGAAGCACGGGTCTAATTAATTTTCATGAAAAGATTTTAATACAAGAAAGTGTCGAAGCAGGGAGAAAAGAATAAAGTAGAAACTGACTATTTTCCCTAGTAGTGTTTCCCCAGCAGGCTCTCCGAGCTTTTTCTGCTTTACAGAAATTTTCATCTCATTCTGCAAGAGCACCACAATCACTCAAACAGACAATGAATGTTGAATGTTAAAGTTGAGGTGTAATGCAAATTAATACTTGTATCAAATATTCCAAGATGCAGCTGGATAGAAGAGAAATAGTGCAGTGTGCAGAAAGTGAAACCCAAAAAAATGGTAACAAGATACTGAAGATAAGGGTGATAAAGGCTGCCAGTCATGATGGATGAAGTAAATTTGATGAAGCTTTGAAATTTTAATTTAGGATTGGCTGAAGGGATAACAAAACTACAGGAAAATGAGGGTGCTAATACAATTAGCATAAACTCAACTACTATTCATGTATAACTAGAATTGCTTTACATATTAGAGAAGTAATGCAATTCTGTAATGCAATTCTCAGTTACCAAAATTAACAAATAAACCTGTTTGCGGAGAAGGCCCAGCATTAGATATATAGTCATTTCAGAACAAGATGCTGCATTTCCAGTTTCATCACTGGGAATTTGGGCAACTTTAATCCCATGCTTTAAAGCAGCATCAATATCAATGCCTTCATGCAAAAATACAACAAATTAAAAAAAAAAAATTATTGCAGTACATTTAATGTGGCAGAAAGCTTTTAAGTTATGGAATATTGATATCTAATAGAAATAAGGACCTTCTATACCAACACCAAACTGCATTATAATCTTCATCTGATAAGCACGAGATATGACATTGGAATCTAACTGCATGCTTTTTACAATACAAAGATGATAAATCCCAATGCGATCAGGAACTTCCTTGAGGGGCATATCATCAACCTACAAGAAGTTCAATTACTTGAGAAGCTCAATGTGATATACAAACATTCAACTTGCATTTGATTGGATCATTGGAGGGATTTGGCTTATGGTTGGTTAATGTCTTAATGATAATGACTTCATATTTTGGTAGGTATGAATGTATCTGCAAATAAGTGCATAAGCATGAGCGTTAGAGCAAAGTACCTGGATAAAAGGATATTTTTTCAAGTATTCTCTAGTATAATTATGTGAAGCCGGAAATGTGGTCCCCAAAAGAGAACACGAATGGTGGGTTTGCTAATGCCATTGACCAAATCTCTCCCCTCAACCTTCGAAAACATACCTGCCATGAATGGACCTCCAAAAAAAAAAAAAAAAAACCCAGGATCATGAGAAGATAAAGCAATGCATTCAAAATTTCCTGAAGCATTTCTCTTAACTGAATATTGCCCAAAAAGCCTATGAAGTAGAATAGAAGTCTGTCAACCAGGACTTACTGCTATTGAGGAAAACATTGAAAAATCAGACCAAGGCTGCCTTAAAAGCAAAATTGAACTACATTCATCGTTCATCAGGTCTGTAGTGGCATTCATTTCATCAGGTGGGTATTGCATATAAAACCAGTTTGGGCAGGAAATCAAGCAATCACATTTTTTCAAGTATTCATAAGTACATTTATGTTGGATAGTGCCCCTTGTCTGAAGAAAACAGGTACTCGCAGTCTCTCACATCATATCCAACATAAACACGAGGATTAGGACAATTCGATCAACGAAAAACTTTAAAATTCAATTTTTACTTTCAAGAACTTTTAAAAATATTTTAAATTCAAGGATTCTCTTAATTAATTTTAAAATTTTAAGGAAATACGTCACTTTAACACTACTTATATCCATACAGCATAAATTTTAACTCAACAAATCAGTTGAGTCCATTCTTTTTTATATTGAACATTTACGTGAACATACACTTATAAACTTATTCTTATGAGATAAATTTTATCAAACTTTTAATGATGATTGATAGAATATATATAAATTTAAAATATTATTAAAAAATAGTGAATAAAACTATTCAATTTTAAAAATCATACTAAAAATAAAACATTTCATAAAGTTTATGGATTTGTGATACAATTTATTTTATTATTTTTTTAATTTAAATAAGAAAATTTTAAATCTTACTTTTTGAACAAAAAATTATGTATCAAATCATCAATTATTAAATCAAATGTGGGAGTCACATAATAATAATAATAATATATTATTATTATTATTATTATATAATAAAAAATATAAATAAAAAATTAGAGTGAAATGACAAAGCTGAGAGTTCTGAGATTTACCTGTGAATAAATGGAGATGTCAAACAAGTGAGAATGTTATTTCTAATAAAGGAAATCAACTTTTTTCCGACTACTACATGTATAAATTCCAATCTCCTCAAACCGGTTTGACCCATTGATTTTGGTTTAATGGTAGCAAATATTAATCTAAACTGTAAAGGTGCCAGACCAGCTGATCTAGGGAAGTTGGCAGCGGTTTTTTTAGCCCCAAAATTTAAACCCAAATTGGGCTCAGTTCAAAACATTGAATTATTAATAAAAATATTTTTAATTACAAATTATATTTTAATATTTAATATACTATTTAAATTTTTTTTGATACTCTAGACCAACAAGCTGGGCCAAAGCTTGAACAAGACCATTAGAAAACTGATGGGGTTCGCCCGCGCGCAGCCCATGACAGGTTTAGACTCAATTACTTTTATTTTACTTTTTCTCATATATAATTCTAGTTGCCTTTGCAATTGTTGCTCTGACTAGTGGTCATATTCAAACTTAAATGTGTTAATAGTTTCATTCTAATTGAGTTTCATTTTTTTTTGTATTATTAGTATTTAATTTAGAAGGTTATTAACTCGATTTGACCATACTTTTGGCCAAGGGCAAATTTAACTTAAAACCTTATCGGAAACTTTTGAATGAAATACTTGAGTTCTTGCAGGATAATTAATATTAAAGCTGTTATAAAAAAAAAGAAAATTTTCATGTCATTATGTTGAAGAATTTTTTTTTAATAAAAAAATTTTGAAAATAAATAAATCGCTCAATCTCTTAAGTCAAGATCGAATCAAAATGTACCATATTTAAACATTCGAGATAACCTCAACAAATAACACAAAACTCATATTTAAGATTTCTTCATAAAAAAAAAACGAATCTTAACCAATTGAACCAATAATTTATTAATATTATTAGTGTTATATTGTGGATATGCCTAAATATAATATCGACTTCATTTATATCTAATTGGTTAAATCTATAATAAAAGATAAAGAAAGGAAGAATATTACTAACAATCATTGTACTAAAATTAATCAATCAATAATTTATTTTTTCTAAATGAAATATCAAGTTTCCAGTAATCTAATGAACCTCAAAGTAACGTGCTCAAGAGGATCCTCGAAGCAATCTATCTACTGAAGCTATTTTTCCTTCCTGCTATACAAGATTTTGCAGAAGGCAGCCCCAGGACCAATCTGCTGAACCTTAAATGGGTAGTTAAATTTTATAGCCTTATTGATAGGTTTGATTCTGCCCAATTAATTGACAAACTCTATCCCTGTTAAAGGATTTCCAGCATGAAGTTGTAATGCAACATCACCAACAACCTGCGAGTAGCAAAACAAGAGGGACAATCATATTTGGAAATTCAAATTATACAACTGAACAGGCAAAATAATAATAATAATAATACAATACTTTAATTTTGAAAGCCCTATGATTCATTGAGGATCCAAACACCAGGCTGAGTGAAAAATGTGAAGAAAATGCCTCAACTTTTCTAATGTTTCCATTTTCCTTCATATTTTCCCCAAACCTTAAAAGAGCCCCAAGATACTCTACAGGCATACAGTTGGGGAAATCATTTTATAGAGCAAACAGCAAAGTAATAGAACCATTTTTGTAAAAAAATGTTGAGTAGTTTATGCTAGTAATTGTTACAAACAAGAATTGAAGCTCTCACTGGAATATTTCAGCTCATAGAAAACAATAACTTAAGCAGGAGGATCAAATCTAGGCTTATTATAGACTGAATAGAAGAGAATTTTTTACAATGAAAAATGAAATTCATTTTCCTTTCAACAACCTAAACGATTTGATAAGATGCATACCTTAGCCATGGATCTATAAGAAGCTTCAGTAACCCCAGCAACATGAGGTGTAATTATAACATTTTTGAATTTCAAAATTGGATTTTCAGGGTCAAATGGTTCTGTCCATGCAACATCAATTCCTAAGCCTCCCAAGTGTCCGGACTCAAGATGATACATGACAGCCTCATAGTCTAGAAGACCCCCTCGAGCAATATTTACCAAAAGTGCTCCCTGGAATTACACACTAATATTAACATAAACATCCAACAACATCACCCACTAAGAGTGCAACTATTTCAATAGAAAATTAAACATTGGAAGTTTATTGAAGAGATGTAGCATCATATAACACACATTTCATGAAAAGACAAGTGTTGTGAAAAACTTTTCATTGTTTGATTTTAAGTTTTCATAGCTATGACTGCTACCAAAATTTAGGAGAGTTCCCTCACAAATTTTGAAATGCATTAGAAACAAACCTGTTTCATTGACGATATGAAGGACTTGTTTACAATTCCAACCTGAAAATTTGAAATATAGAATTGTAAGTGATTCGAGAATAAAATTTGCAGAAGATGTAAGAGATATGTTGACCTTACAGAACCCCAATTGTAAGAAATTGGATAATAAATTTTGTAGCAGATGTACAAAAAAAATTAGCCAAAAAATAGCATATTCTGTGAAAGTGGATATTTCTGGTAAACAGCCTTACAGTTTCTTTATTCAAACTCAAGCAACAAACAACTATATCAGCATCGCTTGCAAACTCGTAAATATCTCCATGACTTCCTTTCTTGTCAACCAAATCATCAACGACCCCATTTTGAATTGGAACTGCTGAATATTCAAGACATACAGAATGAAAATGCCTTCACAACTGAACTTCACTATTTACTTAATGAATCCTCTATACCTTTTGGGACAGGAACAGGCACATTTGAGGGCCAGCTTCTTTTTGTAGCAATAATTTTAACACCGAATGGTTTCAATCGCTTTGCCAAATCAATTCCGATATTTCCAAATCCCATAATAAAGACCTGCACAAGCAGGATATAATACATAAATAATCAAATAAGTTATGAAATGTTGGAGACTATGATTTGAAACATGAGACTGTCTACCTTAATGGTGAATGAGTATTTGTTAATGGAGTGATTTTTTCAAATGAAGTTAATAAGATTGCCTAGCCTAGAATTCATCAAAAACAAGATCATGCGTAGCCTAGAATTCATCAAAAACAAGACCATCGAAAGAACATTTCATTTTTAGAACCAAAAAGTCTAAATAAGGCTTGGGCTCTAAACACAAATGTCTGAATAAACAACTTGAAATGTATTAATTCTCATATCCAACCTTCACTATTTACTGCTTTCCTTTTAAATGAAAAATCCCAATTTAAAGAGGTAACATATGCATGAATATGATAAATGTTAAATAATGTACCCCTAACACATTACACTTTCTAAGGAAAAATATTTGAAAATGGGCAGAGCAACAGGATACTGATTTTACTCTGTACTCAATGTTGAATTTCTGATCACAGAAAATATTCATTCACGTCTGAAATGAATCCAGGTCAAATTCTAGGCAGTCTGGTTATCTACCTTCTCTACAGACCTAAGCAAAATAGTTTGTCACTTGTTATGCCAGAATAAGATAAAGCTTTTATTTTTATTTTTATTTTTCCAGTAGTATTAAAACTATGAAGTTCAGCATTCACACGTCAAGCATATTCTTAGCAAAAGTCACTATGAAAAGCCAAAGAGAAATCACAAGTCTAATTTACATGAAATGATTTTAATAAAAGAATCTTAAATAAGTGTTGAAGTAGAGAGAAAAGAATACAGTAGAAACTGACTGTTTTCCCAAGAAGTGTTTCACCAACAGGCACTCCAAGCTTTTTCTGCTTTACAGAAATTTGCATCTCATTCTGCAGGAGCACCACAATCACTCTGGTCATGATAATATCAAATATCATAACAAAATAGTGCAACGTGCAGAAAAAACAAGCTAAATTGAGTCCAAAAAATGGTAACAAAATACTGAAGAGAAGAGATGATAAAAGTTGGCACTCATGATGGATATGAAGTAAATTTAGCAGAGCTTTAAATGTAGGATCAATTGAAAGGGACGACAAACCTACCAGAAAATAAGTTAGTAATTTAATAGCTATTCATTACATCAAGCACAAAAGTATTTAATCAAACAACATACTACCATAACGAGCTGCAATCTAGCGGAAATGGAAGAAGGAAAGTAATACTTTCTCTCATTAATTCAAATTGGGATAGAGAGAATGCGTCATCAAGCTCACTTCCAATTTGCTGTAACCACCATATAAGTGCATTGTTGAATGGTTAATATTACTATATTAGGCACACAACATTAATTTCAAAGCTTGATGAAAAATTTCTGGCAATAGAAATGAAGATAGAACACGTGCTGCAGCACTGCTTGTAACATCAGGGCTTAAGGCATGGCCAGCTGGTCAAGAGAGCATCTCCTAGAGATGCTTGCACTAGTTTTGTTGGCAAAAGTTCTTAACCATTCCAATTAGATTTGGTGGCTAGTCTAGCCTTGAAGCTTTAGATCTTAGAACAATTTTAAAGGCTATTATTCCCTTCCACAAATTGCTTAATTACCACATTTTGATCATTGGTTTATTCAACAGATAAACAAGTTCCATTGCAAATTCTCTTTTATTTTTCTATAACCTGACACAAGTGTATGCCACAACTTTGACCAAAAAAAAAAAGTGTTTGCCACAACTAAGACAAATAAGAAGATAGTGAACTAACCTTACAATTAGCATGAAGTCAAACACTTTTTATGTTTAACTATAATTGCATTAACAAATTAGAGAAAGTACTGCAATTCTCAGTTACTAAATTAAATAAATAAACCTGTTTCCGGAGAAGGCCCAACATTAGATATATAGCCATTTCAGCACAAGATGCTGCATTTCCAGTTGCATCACCAGGAATTCTGGCAACTTTAATCCCACGCTTTGTAGCAGCATCAATATCAACGCCTTCATGCAAAAGTGCGAAAAATAAAAAATTTACTCCAGTACATGTAATGTGGCAAAAGCTTTAAGTTATGGAATATTAACATATAAAGAATAAGGACCTTCTAGGCCAACACCATACTGCATTATAAGCTTCATCTGTTTTGCACGAGATATTACATTTGAATCTAACCTCATGTTTTTCACAACACAAAGATGATAGTTCCCAATATGGTCAGGAACTTCCTTGAGGGGCACATCATCAACCTACAAGAAATTCAATTGCTAGAGAAGCTCAATATGAGATATAAAAAGTTTAACTCCACACACAAAAAAAATTGTTAGGTTGCATTAGTCAACTTGCATTTCAATGGCGGGATTTGGCATATGCTTGTAGTGTGTTTGGTTAATGATAATGCATTAATATTTACGTAGGTACAAATCTATCAGCAATAAGTGCATAAGCTTGAGAGTTTGAACAATGTACCTGGATAAAAGGATACTTCTCCAAGTATTCTCTAGTATAATTTTGGGAAGCTGGAAAATGTGGTCCACAAAAGAGAACACGAGTGATGGGTTTTTCATCGTCCAGATTGCTCCTCTTCTGTGTCGAAGACATAGCTGCTCTGAAGAGACCTCAAAATCAAAACAAAATACCCAGAACATGAGAAGATAAAGCAATTTAAAATAAATTATATGCATTCAAAATCTCCGGATGCAATTCTCTTACTAAATGTCTAATTGCCTATTGTAACAAAGACTAGAGAAACTGTCCTCCTATAGAATGATGAGAAGCAGGGTGAGTCTACCAAGAAGCAATTCCATACCATAGAAACACTTATTACTATTTGAAAAAACATTGATAAATCAAACCAAGGCTGCCTTTAAGCAAAAATTAACTAACTTCTTTATGTACCTAATGACATTGATTTCACCAGGTGCCATAGATAGAACCAGTTTTGGCAGGAAAGCATCAAATTATAGTCATCATGCGAACTTATATTGGATACTACTAAGTGACTAGCAAGGAAAAGGAAGAGAAGACGGACTCTCACAGCATACCAATATAAACATGATGATTAGGACACCATAATCAACGAAAACCTGTAGTGCAGTCTTACAATAAAAATAACATTTTGATCTTGATTAACATGGTAAAACAGAGTTCCCCTGTTGCAAGGGAAAATCTCATTGCTACTCTTACAGAGTACAATAGCTCAACTAGTATTGAGTTTATTCCTAGAACAAAAGTGGGTTCAACTTAAAATAGAATCTTTCCCAAGGAACATTCTTTTTCCCAGAAATTCCAGCTCAAACCCTTTGCTAGAAAGCTTATATCTAACAATCAAAACAAAGACTTCAACCTAATTCTGCACTTTTAAAGGACATTATTATTACATGATTATTATTATATAATAGAAAGAGAAAACATATATAAAAAAAAAAGATAGTTAAAACTTAATAAAGAAATCACAGAGCTGGAGATTTAGTGGGCTTTACCTGTGAAGAAGTGGAGATGTGAAACAAGTGAGACTCTGGACCAGATTTATATTTGCGCCTGCCCTAGCAGCCTCCTTTCTGATACAATAGAGGAGCATTTCCGATTTAGATGATGATTTTCCTTTTTAGTTTTAACTCATAATTTTTTTTTTTTGCTTTATTTGGTTTATATTTATACTAAACCTACTCGCTGTCTAAAGGACACAGCACTGATTTGGACCCTTCATAAATTATTTTTTTAGCTTGGTTTTGTTGAGAGAATCCTAAAAGGATTCGAATCTCCGCTCTACAATCCCATCTATCAATGTTGTCAATTTTACGGCATATTATAATAATAATTTTGGTGAATCAAGCCACATGCGTTTAGTGCTTTGGTTGTGCCCTTTCTTTTTTTTTTTTTTTTAAGTTAATTAATCTTGGTTTTTCATGGCCCTTGTGGCCTGGGGTTGTTGATTTGTTGATACTTGTACAAATATTTTTAAAATTAAAACTTATATTTAATTAAAAATAAATAAATAGTTTAATATCATAAACATTAAATTATCGTTTTTATATAAAATAAAATCGTATATTTTTATTCATAAATATTATTATTACTTTTTACTCTTTGCATCAATCTTTTATTTATATATTATTTATTTTAGGATAAAAAAATTGCAACTTAATTTTTTTTAGTGGGGATGTGAGAGAGAGATGGAGGAGCGGCAAAGCTTCTGATATTTTCATAACCATGTCCAAAATGACAGGAAACAAACAATGAAATAATGGCTTGTTTGTTTAATTATGTAAAATACAAGTTGTCATCTGGATTGGGAATTTGCATGTGCTCACTGAGGGAAGATTGTTTCCAAATGGAATACATATTGAAATCTCAGAGAAGCTTTGAAGAAGAAATTCACCAAATAATGCTAAGCATTGTATTGGAACAAATCCGTGAAAGACCAGAGCCATAGACAATTTTGAAAATCAATATATGAACAATTATAGTGCGATTCCTTGCACCTTTTTTCTTTGATGAGGTGTTACCCATATTTCTAAATTTTGATTGCAACAAATCCTACACATGAAAAGCTAATACTCTACTACCAAACAAAAATGCTGCAAGTAACTTCACATGTCCATGTTTTGATCATTATCATTGTCTCCATCGTAATATTCATCGTCACGATGAATTTGCTTGTCCTGGGTGTGCTCTGTTATGGAAAGAAAAATGTAGAAAGGAGTACCATGAGAAGAAGAAATAATAAGTTTAACAAGAAATCAAGTGACAAAAAGTGACACCGCAGCATGATGCCATAGCTCGGGGGTATGCATTATTCCGGAGTTCTACTTACGATCCATGCGCTCATCAGGATTTTGCTCATCTTCATCCAAATCAGGAATATAGAAATCAGGTGGAACCTGCAAGACAGATAATAGCCATTACACCACCAATATTTTGCTTACATTGCACACTAATGTTTAGCCACAAAACAACCCCAGACTCTCTGAATGTCCCTCTTTTCCTATTGTGATGAGGCATGGTTCAAACAGCATGGAAATCAAAAACCAACCACCTAGACAAATAATCTCGCTCATCAAGAGTCAAGAGTTAGTTGGCAACTAGTTGTGTGCAACTCACCTCTTGCATCTGCACACCCGGAGCATGTTGGATGCAACGAAGATTTTCCAACACTTGCATTTTGATCGTACTCAGATATGATTTGCTATTTAAATTCTCCTGCATAATCAACAGAAACACGTAGGCTTATGAGGGTTCAGAACTTCTTTAAGTTCATTGTTGCACAATGCTAAGTGCTAACTATATCAGACAGAACATATTTGCATTGAAGTTTATTGAATGATTTTTAATTGTGAAAAAAACGTACTATGTGCCCGTTTGGAATATTCAACAAGTACTCTGGTGCAAAATATTTGATATACTCATTTTCTGGGATTTCTGCACAAGATATCAAACTTTTAAGTAAGTTTTTCAATCTTCCAATCAGTGAACCATCCTAAAAGCTGTCCCCACCAAAAACACACACACAATAAATTCAAAAAACTGGCCAAAGACCTTTGAAAATATATCGAGCAGCTTATTCAATATCAAGCAGATCCACAAATATAGCAATCAACATTACATTTAATAAAGAACATCCCTGAGATTGGGGAAAATGGGTTATTTGCATTGGCAATTCATGGGTCAACATGTATGTTAGATGCTTTGTGAAACTAATTTACATAATCCCAGTTCTCATGCCAAGCTGAATGGGAAAAAATACCAATTTCATCGTAGCATGTCAAGAAAAAAGTGGGGATTATCTTGGCATACCATTAGGAAGTTCTGTATCTAAAAGAACTCCTGTCTCAACAGTCCAACACCGTGCAACATTTTCTTTTGTATATCCTCCACCTCCAGTAACCTGTAGCATAAAAGATTCCTCTTTGTACTTTAACCATGACATTTACAGCAGTTAAAAGGTTAATCAAACAAACAACATACCAGCAAAGGTAGGTTGAATTTCTTCACAATTTTAACACACTCAGCATGTCCTGCAAATAACATCAAGATCTCCAATATTCATCAATAATTTAAAGGGGGAAGGGGATGGGAATAGTCCATAATTTACAAGTCAATTTGTGTACCATCAATTGAGAGATTGAAACAGCCCAAGCGATCCCCAGCAAGAGAATCTGCCCCACATTGAAGAACTATTGCACCTGGTTGATACATTTCAACAACCTTGGAGATAATCTACAAAAGGTAGATATTGGACACAATGGTTTAAATACTACAACAGTTAAGTGCAGACAAAGCAATTATCTTTCTATTATGTTTTTTTTTTTTGGGACTTGGTACTTACTGTCTTAAACAATCGAGTGAAGCTAGTGTCATCAATTCCATCCTTGAGTGGGACATTTATGGCATAAAACTTGCCTTCTCTTTCTCCTATATCCTTCAAATCAAGTTGTATCAGTATTTCACTCCAATATCAACTTGCCATAATACTAGCATTTATCAAAAAAAAAAAAAACAATTATGAAAAAAGGATTTCATAAGTGAAGCAGATAATAAATTCCATGCTTATACAAATTCAAAAGCAAATAGGTGAGAGTAACGGAAAGGAAGCAACTAGACTAGTTTTCTTTCACCAATAAAGAATTTTAACTTGGAAAGTTGATACACTTTGAAATGGTCTAACCTAAATTTGCAAAGAAAAAGCAACAAAGAAGACTAGCACAATGAATATGCATGACTCCTCGATAAGTGCATATGTAAAACAACATCATGGGTAATTTACTTCTTGAGACCTTTTACTTTAGAAAAATGCTGTAATTTTCAAGATTTAGTTTAATTTAAAAGCCCAATGAGCAACAATATGGGTTTCTGAAGAACAATAATGGCATAATGTCATATCCTATTAGTAGGGTGATATATACAAAGGATTAAAGGTATTTAACACTTGAAACCATGTGAATTGAAAAGTGGAAAACTTTATATAGGAAACAGAGCTGGTAAAATCGATATAATCAAGTTTAAGATAATCATGGCAGCCATAAGATGTCGACCATGCGAAAATATATTAACAAACAAATTTACCTAATGTTACTGCTACCAAAAAAACAACTATCAAAGCATTGAAAATAACCTTCGCATCACCAGTTCCAGGAAAGAACATATCTCCATACTTGTGAAAACTAACAGTCATCACCCTGTCATAATAGAGTTTCAACAATTTGATTAGAGATTGCATTCATCAACCCGTATTACTGAAAGTTCAACAATTAAGATTGCATTTGAGATGCATGAAAATATTAAGTCTCTTCTTGGCATGATAAAGTAACAGTCTACAAAGCTGATTTAAACCTTGCAAATGCTTATATGAACTTAACCCCCCAAGGATATAATTCTTCCAGCAGTGAATCACCAAAAACAGCATTTTTGGCTCCTTTGCTGTGATTCAAACTTTTGAAATGATGTATAATCCTGTTCCTAGAATAAATTCAAAATCCAATAACAAGATCAAACTACCTGTCAGTGAAATAAAAGGCTTCTTCAACGCCATCACCATGATGTACATCTATATCAATATACAAAACTCGGGCATGGTACTTTAGAAGCTCCAAGATTCCCAAAACCAAGTCATTGATGTAACAAAAGCCAGAGGCTTCGCACTTCTTGGCATGATGTAAACCACCAGCCCAATTTATAGCAATATCACATAGTTGATTGTTCAATCTTCGTGCAGCATCTGCCAGCAAAGCCAATCAATTAAGGCTGAATATGCACAAATCAAGTTCAAGAGCAACAGACCGCTGAATTTGGGTTTACCTATAGTTCCACCAGCATAAATTTGGCAAAATTCAAACAAGTTTTCAAAGACAGGGCAGTCTTCTCCAAGATTGTCTGGGGAAGGAAAAAAGATAAAAAGGTGAATCTGAAACTATAAAACCCATATACATCAAATAAAAGCAAAACCTAATCAAACCCTAATCCATTTTCAGAATGATATTTGCATGTGCCCGAAACCGGATAGTATATAATCAATGTCAACCTAAAGATTACAAGTAAGAAAAAAGCAAACAGCTCTGCGAGAGAAACTGAAATTAGAAAAGTAAACAATATAACTGCTAGAAATATTACATGATTGCTATCACTCATACCAAATCAACAAATATGTTTTAATCTTAAAACAAGTGCAACCATCAATCTCGAACAAGGCATTCCATGGATGTTCTTTTTAAGACTTAGTTGACAAGATAAGGCAAATAAACGAACTGTAAAATTAGTATCACTGCATCAGCTTGAATCTAGTATTAACCCATTAATTTAACAAATAGAAACAGGTTACAATCCAGCAGAGCATTAAGAAGAGTAAACGGGTTTTTAAACTAATTCCCAAGTCCGAAGTTTGATAGCACAACATAAGGAAAAGGAAAAATCAATTCCAAAACTTTAACGACACCAAACATTCATACTTGAGGAAGTTATCTTTTCCCAGTCAGAACGCGTATCATAACAAATCCTTTCAGTTAAACAATCAATTATTTAATTCTCAGAAAATATTGGTAGCTCAAAAACTTATCTGTTTTAAATGATTTAACAAAAACGGTAAAGCAAAAAAACATGTGATACATACATCTGGCCAATTCATTCGAGAACAAGTGCTGCGTATCCGGCGTAATTCGATGTAAAAACTCAACATAATCAGTTGAATGGAACTGAGCAAGCTCAACGGGGTAAGCCTTGTGAGGACGCTGCATTAAACAAAGGAAAAACATCAAAACATCGTCACAGAAAAGAAGAGAAATAAATAAGAGAAAAGTTTGAGTATTTGAGGAACTGACATAAATTTCCATTTTTTTATGGAGGTCATAGGCAAGGACCAAATGGTGAGTCATACACAGCCGATGCGGTTTCATCGGATGATTAGGGCCAAAGTATACACTCCCTACATCTCCTGCCAAACAACCAAAAATATAGTTAAAAATTGATTTTTTTTTGTTAACCAAAAGTTAGGGTTTTTTAAGATTTAGGGAAATAAAGGAGATTATAACTAGAGAAAGAAATTTTTAAATTGAGTAGAAAGAAATTAAAGGCAAAAGAAAGAAAAGGGTAGATGAATTGTGAATATGAGAGAGAGAGAGAGAGAAAGAGGAAGGTACCGTCGTAAAAGTAGGCTATTTTGTCCTTTGGACGCATTTTAGCGACCAATAGAGAAAGAAAAGGCTAAGGAAAAGAGACGGAGAGTGAAGTCTTTCGCTACGAAAAATCCGCCATTGTTAGAGCTTCAGAGGAGAGTTGCAGAGAAGACAGTAGTCAAAATTGTGTACCCTCAGGCATATGTAACTACATATGCGTCGTTATACGACACCGTTTGAGTAACCAAAATTTTATTTTTAGCAGGCCTAAGTGGGCCCACATTGAGCTCGTAAGTTGCTTTAGTGGCCCTGCCATCTAGGCCCGTGTAATTATTTTTAACAGAGGTTTTTTTCCGTTGTCTTCCCCGAATGATATAAGGACCATTTCCAGTAATCAATCGATCCCGATAGGCTCAGAGTCGTCTAAAATTTCTAGAGTTTTCGCATCTAAGGAAGAAAAATAAGCAGGATCAATTTTCTCTCAGGTATACTCTTTCAATTTTCTCCTTTGAATCTGATCTTGAAAGTTGTTTGATATAATAAGGTGGAATTAATTTTTATCTTTCTTAGTATATCTGCTGGTTGAATGTGCTGAAGATTTTTTGGGGGAGAAACATTTAACTGATTTGGTTTTCTTTTGGGTAATTAGTTTGGGTTGATTGGACTAAATCTCCTGTCTTTGTAGCTTGACAAGATTAATCAAGCTAGCTTTCTCGTGCAAAATAATTAAATTTAATTCTTTTAAATTGGTTTGGTTAGGCATAGTATAATTGGTTAAGATTATAATTATATGAGTAATTGAAACCATTAAGCTAGATTCTAGCGGAAGATTCATAAAATTCATCATCCTCTAGATGCAAAAGAGTAGTTATATGCAGAGGCTTTTTTAGGTTTTTGAAGTTTTTGTAAGGTTGAATTCATTTCTGTATATGTGAAACCTTGCTGTCTGGGGCTTCTACAGAAGCCAAATTTCCCTTCGTAGGCTATTTTGCTACGGTGAACTTTATTCCACTGCTGAAATTTATTAGTTTTGCTCTGTCTCTTTCAGATGTTGCCTTAAGATCAGCTGCCAATGTTTTATTTAGCTTTCGTAGAAAGGGGGGACTTCCATGAAATTTTGAATCTTGTTAGGGCAAGGGATGTCTGCTTATTAGCATGAGTTCAAACCTATGGGTTGTAGGGGAATAGTAGGCTTGTGGATTCTTTGGAGTATGAAATTTCAACAATTTTCTTGGTTAACAAGGAAATTGTAGCTCATAAAAAGTGTTTTGGTGGGTGTACCAAAGAATTAGGATTAATCTAACTTACACCAATTTTTAGGGGCGGTGGTGGCCTGGTGGGGGAGGCTGCTTATGGAAAAGGGGAGAACGGCCCACCTATTGGACCAGAAAATGAAAAATAGAGGGAAAGAGATATGGAAATTTTAAGTGCATGGATGTGCCATTTTGGGAAGAGAGAAGAAGTGAGATTGAGGTTTTTTGGGAGCTTAGAGAAGCTTCTTTGATTAGATGATTTATAACTGGATTTTAACTTATGGTGCAGGATGTCGGAGCCACCATTCAGACCTAGGGAGAAGCTTCTTGAGAAGCAGAAATATTTTCAAAGCATCCACAAGCACACTTACCTGAAAGGACCTTATGATAAGATCACATCTGTTGCCATTCCTGTTGCTTTGTTTGCAAGTTCCTTGTATTTAATTGTAAGTTTGTTTCTACTTGTGAACATGCCTTTAACAAGTTCTAGGTCCTGTTTGTCAAAGAAAAGAGTGAGAAACTAGTTTTTTGGCATCTCAGTGATATTCCTCATATTGTGCTTGTTATTTTTCCAGGGACGAGGGATCTATAATATGTCTCATGGGATTGGAAAGAAAGAATGAGAATACTCATGCTTAGAAGACTTGTGTTCCTGGACTTTTGTGGTTTTTTTACATTGAAGTTACTTGTTTATTAGCTCTAATAATTGTTTGGTTTGCACACTATTTTGCTGCCAATGGAAATTTTAAAGCTACCTTGACATTTTATGTTCAGTTTGGTTTTTTGTTTGTTTTGAAAGCTACATGATTAGACCTCAGGATTCAGCAAGCTGTTTGATGTTTCTATGCATAAATTGGTGTTTGTGTTCTTGAATACTTGTTAAACCTGAATAATGTCAGTGGGATAACCATTAAGTGAAGGACTTTGAGTTTTTCACTTTGGGTGAATCTTGTGTGGCAGAGTTAGCTATGTTAAAGTTAATTGCATGTTCAAAAATTGAAGTACTTCCAATTTGCTCAGTCTTGGCTCCACACCTGGAAAGCATCCCTTTCTTCCGTAAATGCTGAGTAACTTATGAAATTAAAATCCATTAATAAGTTCCAAGAATGGGGAGGACTTTGTATATTTTATCTTATCTAATAGTTTCAAACTTGTGCATTCTGTATTTGGTTTAATAATATGCATGCATATTCATCAATTTAAAGTTTGTGTTTGAATTCCTCTCAGAAAAATAACAAACATTGAGTTTTATTTTTTTTTAAAATAAAAAGTATGTATTTAAATATTTTGATTTCAATAGGGGTGTGAATGGAAACCATCACATTGTTTTGGAATTGAACTCTTAATATGCAAATTTTAGAGATAAATATAATATTGTTGTATGTAAATAATGGTAAAGTTTAAACCAAAAAATTTAATATCTTATATTCAAAATTTCAAAAATTAATTCTGTTTTTGAATTATTTTAATTTGCATATCTTTTGGCAAAGTTTTCTCCATATTGTCTTCAAAACATTAATTAAAAAACCATTGGGCCTATGTTGGGCTTTTGGGAGAGGCCGGGAAAGAGGGGAAACCGAACCATCTTCCTTTTCTTACAGTGTTAGTCGTTGTTGAGACTGAGGTCGAACTTAGGTTAGGGAGGTTCAATTGCATCGGGTTTGCAGAGTTACTTGTGCCCACTACTCGTCTCGAGACAAAGGCCACTTGCTGGTATGCAGTTCCTCTCTCTTTGAGCTTCAAATCCCATTTCATATCACTATTTTACTTGCTTTTCCTCTTTCTGCCGCTTTTGTACACTTAAAACCCGTTCAGATTAGAAAAACCAGAACGAAATTTTGCCTTTTTTCGTTTCTTTTAAAAGTTTGCTTATTATGGGTTTGTAAAAACAAGGGCAAATCCCATTGTAAAACCTTATTGACATAATGTTGTAAGTGTCGTGCTTTTAGCTGATATGTCCTATAAACCCTTTTTTCTAAGTTACATTTCTACAAGCATTTTGGAGTGCTTGTTACGTTAGAGACTACAACTGATCCCTATTAAGAACCCAATACTAAATCCTTTTTTTACCACCATTGACCTGAAATGAGAGGTTGAAGTAGAAAGCTAAATGCTGGAGAGAGTGTAAACCAATTTGAAGAAAAGATACAAGCTTTGGGGTTTTGGTAGTGAAGCTCCATGACTGATTTGATACATGTGTTTTCTGTTTTCTTGCATGATTTCCGCATTCCTCCTTGTAAATTGTCTGAGATGTGCTTGAGGTAGGATAATTATAAAGATTATTAAAAGATTTATTGCTGCTTATTAAGGCATTTTATATTTAGGATTAGTTTCTTGCTCTGACATTTGAAAGATTTTGGAGAGTGTACACCTATGGCATCTTAAGAAAAGGTAGGAATGTATAACTTTTAACTCAGGAATTGATATATATAGGCTTGTCATTAGGAGTCTTGCAGTGTTATTGCCTCTCCCATTGTATATGCACCGTGGGTGATAAGTTGACAAACTTTTGGGTCTTTAAATTGTACTATAAGCATTATGACAGAGAAAGGTCTCACCTTCTCATGCACCATAAGCGCGGCTTTTTCCCCTATGGTAGTTTTTATAAGTTCTAATAGGTAAATAAAACATAAAGAGTTCATTTCTTCCTCAAATTGAAAATGGATTGTGCAACTGGAAATATAAACAAACTTTTAGTGTGCCAGAAAGCTTTTGAATAAGCAGATCCTCACAGATTCATATGTCGAAGTTGCATTTTGAATGTTGATCATGAATACCTGCATGTCACTGTTAGAACACTTTATATTGAGTTAGTATCACTGGTGAAGAAATTTGATAAATGTGCTGTTGACATTCTGACATATTTGAGTTTTTTACCTGCAGTTTAAAAATGCCTAAGGTAAGGACAAACCAAATCAAATATCCAGATGGATGGGAATTGATTGAGCCTACTCTTAAGGAGCCGGATGCCAAAATGAGAGAAGGTTGATAAATGATAATTTATTTTGATGCTGCATAATAGAAAATTAATTAGTTTTCTAGTATTCTCTTGTTAAGCTTTCTCATTATGAACTTGCGGTGATTTGATATTCATTTGGCACCTGGCAGCTGAAAATGATCCACATGATGGCAAAAGGAAATGTGAAGCATTGTGGCCTATATTCAAAATTGCACATCAAAGGAACCACTACAATTTTTTATCTTTTCTATAAAAGAAATTAAATATCTAAAGAGCTGTATGAGTGCTGTTGGGAACAAGGCTATGTGGACTGCAACTTAATAGCTAAGTGAAAAAAGGTTTAACGTAACTGTGCCTTACATAATAGTTTGGGCATTAGGCCATAATTAGGTATTGTTGAATAATTTGAAGTTAGCTCCAAGTCTTCGGGACATCTCCAACTTTGCAGATCATTATAACCAAAGCCCTATCATCTTCCAAACTCCTATCACTCTCCAATCCTCCACACTTCTGAGGTCTTACTTCATCTTCCTCTTTCATAGCTTTAAAATTATAAGAGCACCAAGTGAAAGTCAATAATCTTAAAATGAATTTAGAATGTCAATGCATTATTGAGGTCTTTACTTTCATCACTCTTTTATGTTAATCTTTTACTAACTCTTGAAGATGCATGAGCTGGCTTTTCTGGTTGTTGAAGGTTTAATTTTCCTTCTGATTGGTGGTTCATATAAAAATGTTACAAGAATGCAGTCTCTACAAATATTTTTCATCAATTTTTTCCCCATTTCGTTTGTTAATGCAGCCTGGATATGAATATCTCTGTTGCCTTCGTTGCATACAGCCACTGGATCACAATTTTAGCACACTGCTTGTGTTTGCCGAGTTCCCCAGCATTTAAGGGAAGAGAAAGTAATTGAGCGTGTGCATTGTGGATTTAGGGGCTGTGCTAGTGGGGATTGACTGACTTTTCTTTTTGGCAAAGTAGTGAATGTGTGTGTATTGTGGATGTTGTTCATCATTGCGCTTATTATGTTAATACTTTGTTATACTTCTTTCTTTCTTCTCGTATGAGCATCATTGTGTTACTATGTTATGTTTATTCCCGTTCTATGCGAGTGTTGATTACATGGGTGCATGCAATCTGAATAAGATTTCAAGTTAAAAGTGAATACTAAAAGTTTCAAGTTTATGAACTTGAATCTAGCTAGCATGGTGCAACTGCAATAGGAATGGCTTGTAATATTAAAGTAAATTCTTTGTTGTCGACATTGCCTGATAAAATGAACTTAGAAGTTCATTACCAAGAGAAGTGATACTAGGAATAAAAACATGAGCAACTCATGTAAAACTAATTTTTTAGGGTTTCTGATAATATTCAACCTTGTGTACTGGCACTTTCTGTGTTTCTCTACTACTGGAACTCAGCCCTCCCATGTTTGTTGTCAGCTTAAAGCTTGTGAAGTCTCTTTGCTTCTTGTTGTCCTGAAGAGGTTCCATGGCTGGGTGTCAATGAAGGTAGAATGTGACACGTGGCAAGTTCACCATTCTGTTTATCCATGAAATTAGTTATATTAATTTTGCAGATAAATCAAAATAAAAAATTTAAATTTCTAAGGCAATTTTTAATTTCTTTCTTCAAATACTGCAAGGCAATGAAAAAGGCCACTCAGCCCTAAGTCTCTGAAACCAGGGACAGTCTAAGCATTTCTGTTCTAACTTCATAGTTCATGCATACCCTAAAAGCTAAACGCTGAACTAGCAAAGGCCGAAGGGCCTAAAATTGAGTACACTAGTTGACCTTGCTGGCCTGTCTTTGCTCAACTTAAAGCTAGTCATTCTCAACCATGTTAAAAGAATAAATATACCAAAAATCAAGGCTGTGCTAAAGAGTCGAGATTGCAGAGGTTAAAGATATGAATGATGCCCCATTAACAAAAAATTGAAACACACAGTAGAGCATACATGATTCTGACAGTTTGCAACACCCCCAACCTTTAATAAATTTTTTTTGACATTTGCAGGAATTTGGTGAAAGGATTTTGAATTTTGAATCCATACTACAAAAATCCCTTGGGGGCTAACAGCATATTGGTTTCTGTAAGATGAAGAAAAGAATCCATCGTATTTATGCATGCAGCAGCACATGCTCAAATGTTTATAAAGTTGATTATTATCGACAAAATTAGGCAAATCAAATCCTCGGTGAAAAAATCAGTAGAATGTTCAATATAAAGTCTAAGCATTTCTGTTCTAACTTCATAGTTCAGATATCAGACAGGAAATTTTACACCAAACAATCAGCATATGAAGTCAAAGTGGACATTAATACGGAAATATGATCCTAAAAAACTTAAAACGAAATTGAACATTCTCGTGTCGGACACATAACTGTTTCGACATTCAAACTCACATCTCCAAAACCACTTAAACTTTCATCCTAAAGAGAAATAAGAAGGGATAAAAGCAGAAGATTAAGAGATTCCTTTTTAGAAGTCCAAGCTGGAAAGTTATGAATGCTAATAATATTATGTAATAAGGGCAGCTACAGTCCCTCCTACTCTGTCTTGTCTCTTAAGGCTTTCCTCCCCTGTCTTGTGTAGGTGACCACTTCTTGTCAATTCCACAGAAAGAAGCCTTCTTTTCTAAGCACTCCTCTTCAAGGGAAAAGAAGATCTACCAATACTCTTTAGGAGCCTTCAACCAATATATATCAATTTAAATGACAGCAACATTATTGTAAACTATTTATATTTTGGAAGTAGGAAAATGATTTGTATACCAATAATGATATATTTCTTCACATATACTCTAGGAGGTGGTAAATTTTATAAAATTTTTTATACTTATGTGTATTTTTTATTAAAAAAATGTGTATTTCTTCTACACAAGTGAGAAGAACAGCAGTAGTTAACTGAACTTGTAAATAGGCCAATTTAGGCTGCATTTAAGAACCCAGGCTCTTACCGCATCAGCAGGCACGTTTTATGACTGGACCCTCCAGCAAAGCTAGCTTACCAAAGCAGGCCCATTTGGGTCCTCCTCCATTCCAGGCTTAAAACAATACAATTGGAAAGGTGTACAAGAAAGAAATGTACATGGAATTACTGATAACTTACTTCTATGCTAAAATATGAATACAAAAATTGTACTGATGTTAAAGTGGGTGTTAAAGTAAAGATTGGAAAGAGCATTTGATTTAAGTCTTTGTTTAAGAAAGGTGAAAATCCTCTCTAACATCATGATTACAAATTATTTGTTTCGTGTTAAAGGAAGCTGGTTGGTTTCATAGCTTTAAAGCCGGCCAGCCTTGCATATAACCACCTATAGCAGAGGAAAGAGAGCCATCATTCTTAAGAAAAAGAGCAAAAGAAAAGAGAGGGGGTAAAAGAGAATTGTATGAAGAAAAGAAGGTGGGTGAAAGATGGCATCAATGGCAACACCAAAGCAGATATGGGAGCAACAACAATCACAGATGCAGCGAGTAAAGAATTCGGGGATTATCAGTTGCAATGGGAGTCCAATAAAAGATGACAAGGAAGAGGAAATGGCGAAATCTGCATTGGCATTGTTTCGAGCTAAAGAAGAAGAGATTGAGAGAAAGAAGATGGAGGTGAGGGACAAGGTTCAGGCTTATATGGGACGCGTCGAACAAGCAACTAGGCGCTTGGCTGACATTCGAGAAGTAAGTTTCCGAATCAAATTTATTGGATCACAGTTTAGAAACTAGAATGAGGGAATTCACATGTAGCATCAAGTAGTATATATTAACTCTGGACTGGCCTAAAACATGGACATTTTTTTTTTATGAAAAACGTGAATCTATATGATATTAATGCAACATGACTTTTGTTTTAGAACATTGAGAAGTCTGAAAGGAAACAACATCTCGATTCAGCTCAAGAAAAAATCAATAAACAGATATTCTGCTACCTTGTTTAATATGAGTAAAAGAGTGATGCAGTGTAGCTAAGTTGGGTTCAAATGGTTGTTTTGGATCATTATTTCTCGGTTTCGAGATTCTAAGTAGAATCATAATATCTATAAATAAAATTCTTCCTTTTAAAGGGTACTTTGAATTGAAAACGAATATGATGTTTAACTGTAATGATTCAAATGTCTGCTTCTTTGAATTGATAAAATCTTCCAGGAGCTTGATGCCCTCATAGATCCAATGAAGAAGGAAGTTGCAATTCTGCGCAAGAAGATAGACACCGTTAACCGAGAGCTGAAACCACTGGGACAGAGCTGCCAGAAGAAGGTGCAAATATTATTTTCATTATTGATTATTACAATGGATCTGGGAATAGAAGAAATGATTTACAATGGATCTGGGAATAGAAGAAATGATTGTAAGTATTGGGATTTGAATTTTAAACCTATTAGATGTCATCTCTTAAAAGTGACTTAATGAACTAACTAAGCTAAATCTGGTTCAAACCAAATGGGACAAGTAAATGCCTTTTAGCCGAAATTTCACATTTTCTAGTAAAATTTTTGTTGTCATTATATCATGGCAGCATAAAAGTTCAATATATATTCAAGTAGTAATAGTTTGTTCCTAGCCCCTCAAGAGTTTTGATAATCACAGGAAAGAGAATACAAAGAAGCCCTTGACGCCTTCAATGGCAAGAATAAGGAGAAAGCACAACTAGTTAGCAAATTAATGGAGGTGAATATGTGTTCTTGTTATCGATTCAATAGGAGCATTTATTTACTATGTGCAAACCTTGTTATGATAATTTCTAAGTTTCTTTTTCCTTTCTGTCAAATGGTGGTCAGCTGGTGAGTGAAAGTGAGATATTAAGGATGAAGAAGCTGGATGAGCTGAGCAAAAACATTGAAAACCTTGGCTAAATTGTGCTGACTACAACAACATAATGCGCTTTGTGTGCTGTAATGACACCCAGTTTTCTGATGTTTGGAACATTTATTGTTTCTGTTCATGTTATTCACTGGTTCTTCAATGGGGAGTGCTCTGATTTAGGAATGTAGTCACTGAGAAGGCTTGTCACCAAACAGGTCAACTTTCTTCCACTACTGCTACAAGTGTAGATGTGCTTGCTTAGCCATCATTGCCTAGTGAATTATTCCTTATGTTTGTCAGCAAGCCACCTATCTAACTTAAAATGAAAAAAGGTGATCTGCCACTATAAAAACTTGGTCAATAATTTGAAAAAAATTCAGTTCCAATTTTATCCCATTTACAACTTGCAACTGAATCCATATTTTGATTCTTCCAGTTCCTAATCTATGTCTGGCTTGTTTTGCTGTTCAATTCCTTTATGACCGGTAAATATTAGTTTGTCTGTGTAAAGTTAGTATAAAATTGAATACGAAACTTAATTTAAGTTTATTCATACAGTTGATAGATGGTATTATGTAGGTCTACAATTAAAATGGAAGTAACCCTCCTCATCATTTTACCTATCTCGAATGCGTAGACTTGAATCAAAGACCGGCCATGAGGTGGCAGGGTCATTAACCGGGCAAGCCAAGAGAATGAAAATTTGGCTATTTTGCTTAAAAAAGGCACATTAAAAGTGCTTGTTTTCCCAATTCTGAAAATATTTTTCATGGCAGGGACAACAAAGCTAGTTTAATGGCATTAAACTAAAATAGCTGATATATTACAACTTGTAACTAAACACTATGCAACGAGTTGTTTAGGTAATTAGTCATGCAAAACCTCTTCTTTTTTTTTTTTTTTTTTTCTGGTGATTACGTTTCTTGTTAGGTCAGCTAAGTTAACTTGATTATCAATTAATCAATCTCTTTTTTTCCTGTCAAGCAGTTAAATTTCTACAAACCATTTTCTATCTTTTACATATATATATATATATATATATATATATATATAGTCTTGAGCTTTTTGTTTGATAAGGTGGATAAAAATGAAAAAAAATAGAAAAATGAAAAGTAAAATGATGAAAAATATATATTTTTTCCTAATATGCTTGGTAAAAAAATGAAAAATAAAAGAAAAAAGTAATTTTACTTTGCATTAATTGCTTGATCAAAAGATAAAGGTTTAAATATAAAAAATTTAAATTACTATCTTTTCTATAAAAACTTTTCAAATTACTATCCAAGTCATATATTTTTATTATAATTAATTAACTTTTCAAAATTTTATTTTTACTCAATTGAGTTTTTAATTGGACGGAAATGAATTAATAATCATCATAATCATGTTACCTACGTGGTTAATTTTGATTTAATTCAAAATTCAATTAAATAAAAATAAATGTTCAAAAGTTTAACTAATTGTAATAAAAATATAAAAATTTAAATGATAATTTAATTTTAATTCAAGAATATTTTATATTTAAACTAATTAAAAAATGAAAATTAATATTATTTTATCATTATATACTTTATAAGTTAAAATAAAAAATAAATCTAACAAATGATAAATAATTTTATAAATATATATATACTTATCCACATTTTTCTCATTTCTTATTTATTTTTTTAATAAAATAAAAAATGACATTATTTTAATTTGTGCAATTAAATAATTAATACTAATGTCAATGGCAACTAAAACTCTTAATAACCGCCCTATCCCAATCTGAATGATTTTATAGAAAAGGCGGCTGAAACCTTGCATAAAATTAGAGGTATCAAATGGTCGTGTTAGGCCGGTATAATTTATTTAAATATTAACTTATATGTTAATAAATAGTGCCAGTCAAACATTATCTTTTAATGTGTCATGTTAATATGGTTATGATGGCTAAGACTAAGACTTAATACGGCACATAACTCGTAATTTTTTTAGATTGTATTGTATCAAATATAATATTATTTTTCTTATCGAAATAGGTCGAGTATAATTCATTAATAATTTTTAAATTTAATTATTTTTAAAAAATTAATCTATTATTGAAAATAATATGCAAAAATAAAGAAAAATAAAATGAAATAAAAATGACAAATTATTTATATGATTCAACAAAATATATACATCCAAAAATAGGATTAATAGAATCCACTAAATAAAAATATTAAAATTACAAACCTAATATTTCAAAAAACACATACATATAAAAAAATATTATAAGATACAAGATTATTATTTTATTTTTTATTCTCATATGATAATTTATTTATATAATATGTTATTTTGTATAATTATTTTATACCTTTCATCCTATAATAATTTACTTTATTAATTGAATTTGTACTTACTTGAAGTCTTAATTTATTTTTGTCATTTTTTTTACTAATCACTAGTTAAATTAAACATAAATTACTAACAAAATATTAAAAGAAAATATAATTTCATTGTAATATAATAAAAATATAAATACACTTAAAAGGTTAGAAGTTCATTTATAATAATAATAAGCCAACATAACACGATTAGTCTGTATATCATACATTTCAATTCATAAGCTTAAAATTTTTTAATTTAATACGACATGTGTGTATATATGTATATATATATCATGTTTGATTTAATTCGATTACATAACAATAAATTAAATCAAATATAATTTATATTATATCAAATTATATTATATTATGAACCGTCTAACTTATTTCATAAATATGAAAATTTTGAATATGATATGATGATAAGATATAAAAATGATATAAATGAAAAATAAAAAATAATATAATTTAAAATTTTAAAAAACCCATAGATGAATTTAATAAAAAAATTATATTTTATATTTTTATATTAATATAAATTATGATATATAATTTTTATAAAAATATGATATAAATATAATATTTTATATGATTTGATAACATAAATTATCATATTTATCGTTACGTTTGCGGCTCTATGTGAAATAATAATGGGAGATAAAGGGGTCAAGCCTTTTGTCCTACCCTAAATACTTATGTCAAGGTTACTAAATAATAAATACCAGTGTTCTACTTATTAAAAACATGAAGAGACGGTGAACGGTAACATCGTCAGAAAAATATCTAAGGAAGAGTATTGGGCTGACTGCTGAGTGTCCACTCTCCGCACCAATCGCAAACTAGTTATCAGCCACAAAATATAGCTTTATTTAGTTATTTTAAGACTACAAAAACAAATTAATTAACATTTGCAGCCTTTGAAGTAAAGATTGGGCAGGCGCCGGCCTAATATATATTTTTTTCTAAAACAAGCTTTTGGTCTTTAACATATGCATCGATGTCTCAATGGCCAATGCTGAGCATCCAAATTACAAGCCATCCCTTTCCCTTTCACTTTCTTCCAATCAAAAGATCGTTAGACTTTTTTACCCAATTGCTGCGCCTCTTTTCGTCTCTCAAACCCCATTTCTTTCCCCTTATATATGTTATGCTCTGATCTCTACTCTCTGCCTAACTCGGGCACCCAACCAGAGCTGGAAAGGTTAGCTTTGGATTTTTATTCTCTTCTCCTTTCTGTCATCTTTCAGACTCTACAGTTTGATCATAATGAGTTGAGTTGTACTATTGGTTGACTTGTAAATTGCAATCCTCTTTCCAATTAGAGTTGAAAAGGCTGGAACCTTTTACGCCGATGACAAAGGTTTATCCAAACGCTAGTTTTACTGGCAGCGATGCCATCTCCGAGAGGCCGTCTAAGCTGTTAGTAGCAGCTGACACATGGGAGGCTATTCTAACTGTCTGGAAAAAGTCGTTGTTGTTCAACTGTAACGGCTTCACGGTGTTTGATGGTAATGGTGATTTGGTGTTCAGGGTGGATAATTACATGGAAGGCAACAAGGGCGAGATCCTTCTCATGGATGCCACTGGCAAGCCTCTCCTCACCATCCGCCGCAAGGTTCGTACCTTTTCCTACGTGAGACATACTTTCAAAAATAATTAATTGCAAAATCGATGATGATGATGTTTCAACGTTTCTTTCGTCAGAAAATGAGCCTCGGAGATAGCTGGCTGGTTTACGAGGGAGAAACCTTGGTGAATCCCACACTTTCTGTCAGGAAATCACTGAACATCCTAAACAACAAGTGCTTGGCTCACGTTTTCGCAGGGAACACAAACAATCGAAATAACAACATCATGTACGAGATTGAGGGGTCATATTCCCAACGATGCTGTGCCGTGTACGATGTCAAGAGGAGGTTAGTAGCTGAGATCAAGCGGAAAGAGGCTGTTGGTGGAGTTGCCTTTGGAATCGACGTCTTCCGTCTTGTTGTTCAGCCTGACAATATCAGGGCGGACTTTGCCATGGCTTTTGTTATCCTTCTTGATCAAATGTTCGGATCTTCAAGATCAGGCTGCTCCATCTAACTATATTTTCTTGCCACTTTCTTCAGCAAGACTCTATCAATATATAATCATAGCAACAATTTCCAAATTGCAGCATCAGCATCTTTGGTTTATGAACTCCCCTACTATACCAAATCGTTTACTTTTGTAAAAAAAGAAAAGGAACAGAAAAAAAAACTTTTTGTTGTTAGCTCTTGGGGCTTGGGTTTTTCGTTTTAGATAAAAAACCAAGCTCCCAGTGGGGATGTATATACATTCAACAGTAAGAATAATTTCTGTTCCTCTATCTCTTTCCTTCTTTTTGGATGGTTGTATATGGTACAGATCGAAAATTGAAGCTGCTGCTTTGATCTGGGTTTTTCTTTGTAGAGGAACATTAAAAAAAAAAAAACCAATTTCCATAGTTTTGTTAGCGGGGGCTGCAATTTTATTTACAATCGAGATGAAAACTAGCCCATGAAAAAAACATGCAGACAAAGCTCATTTGGACCACTCCAATTCATATCAGAACAAATTAACTTATTGTCATACTTCAAAAGATCTATCGACTACCATTAAGGAATTGAAAGCGAAAATTTTAGAGAAATAAATAAATAAACAGAGAAACGAAAAAGAAAGCGAAATCAGTAATCAAGGAGAGATTGCTGAGAGATGCAGAAAAATGTGCATGATCCACCATTTTGAGTATGTTAAAGTCATGTTCTTGTATATATGGTACGGGACTAAAGTTGACTCTTTTTTGGTGCTTTGATTGCATTAAATTTTGCTTAAGAGCATCCTTAGATTCTTCTCATAATTGCATCACCTAATTTAATTTTTTGTGATTGGATTTGTCTAACAAATCAAATTTACTTCACCGGTCTTGCGTGGATTTTCGCTTTGAAGTTCGCACCATCAAGCCTCTCTCAAATCTCTTTGAAAAGTATTCCAATGGACTTCATGGATACCAACATTATCTCCACCTTGAAATCTCACAACCCATATAAAGCTGACGTTGCCAAAATCTAGCCCAAGACGAATTTCCTCCATTTCTTCCTTGGAAAATAAGTAGTCACTTCAGAGGAAATTAACACAACTGAAGCAGGTTCCTTCTTGCATGCTGAGCCATTCCGGGATATATATATATATATATATATATATATATATATATATATATATATACACATATAAGCATCTTCCTTACCGTTGTCAGATTCTTGAAAAAAAGGTCCAACAGGACCTACTTATTTCCCTGGTAAAACAGGATATAATCGTTGTACCAAGCTTTGATCATTTTTTATTTTTAGGGGCATATAATAATAAAAAAGACAGTTTTTTTTTTTTTATTTTAACGTATAATAAGAGATATTTTAATCATTTGTGCTGACCTAACATTTCAAATTGATTTGAAATGGTTAGTGTTACCGCAATTCAACTCTATCTGAATTGTTCTTTTTTTTATCCGTATAACTTACTTATAAATATGAAAACTCAAGTATTATGAAGTGAGGTTCATTCAATTCATTTCTTTCTCTTTTTCTTATTTTTTCACTTTTTTTTTGATCTGATCCTTATTAACTTGCACGTCGGAGTGCAAATGCAAAGAATACCCTCTATTTTTGCCTTTTAACTATATTTCTTTTTTGCATTTACAAAAATATCTTCAGGTTGGAGGTCGGCACCAACATTTGGTGTGCCGGTAAGGGCAACATTTTCATATTAGCCGAGCATAAAATAATGTTACTATGAAAAAAAAACCTAAGAGGAATGATAGGCAACCGCTTCAGCTAGAACAAAAACTCACCAAAGTCAGCATTCTGTTCGCCCAACTCAAGCAAGGCCAATCATGGAGTAATTTCAATCCCTGACCAAGCAAATACAAGCCCTCAAACAGATGCTACAAACTATAACCCCACTACAAGTGCTAGACTTAATCACACTGGACTGAGAAGCTGTTATCGGACAACTAAGCTAAAAAACGGTGAAAGCCTTTTTGGCCTCTAGATAAATAGAACACACCAATCTAACTCATCACCACCATAGCTATAATTTTACACATACCATAACCTAAAAGTTTAAACAAACAGACCATAAACTTCAACTGAACAGAGATTTGAAAGCTCGGATGCAAGCCATGGACAAAGAACTAAAAACTAAAATAGTAATATTTGAGGATAAGCTCAAGTTTCTGGAGACTTCGCCCTTTACTGATGAGATTGACAAAACCATGCCTCCCAAGGGATTTAAAATGCCAACTTTGGAGATATATGACAGTACTTTTGACCCATTTGATCATTTAAAACTTTATAAAACCAATATGATGATACAAGAGGCAGATGAGGCTCTGATGTGCAAAGGTCTAGCTACTTCGTTGAAAGACCGAGCTTAATCTTGGTATAGCAATCTGCAACCAAAGTTGATCACTACATTTAAAAAGCTCAATCATTCATTCCTGTCCAGATTTATAAGTAGTCGGAGAGCTAAAAAAATGACATTGAGCTTGATGTCGATTTACCAAGGGCAAAATGAAACCTTAAAAAGCTATGTCATACGTTTTAATACAGAAGCTCTGCAGGTTAAAGAGCTAGAACAGACGATCGTTGTTGTTGTACTGACTAGTTGACTCAACAATAAAGAGTACCACTTAAAGTTGACATTATCGTTAGATCTATCCAAAACTTTGATCCACGTCCTACTAATAGTAGAGAAATACATCAACATTGAAGCTATAATGAAATTAAACTGAGGTGAGAGAGGCCTATCTCCATTCTTCGGTGGCTGAGTTCAGAAAGGCTTATCTTCATTTCTCGATTGTAAAAAAAACAAGAAATTCTATAATCTTCTTCCAATTGAAAGACAACATAAGGTTAGAAGCATTAGTAGAGAAAAAAGCTACATTGCATTGAATACCTGCTATAAGAGGATTTTGATGCAAATCAAAAGAAATTCTGACCTTAGATGGCCTAAACCATTGAGATAAAACACAAGCTAGGATTTAACAAAAAGATATGCCTTTCACTAGGATATCGACCATAATATCAAAAATTGTGTTGACCTAAAAAAAGAGATTAAAGCTTTGATAAGGCGAGATCAATTGAAAATATGTATGGGATAAAAAATACATAACTAGTTTAGAAGAGACTACAAAAATGACCACAAAGAACTATCCTAGGACAAATAGGGAAGATCATATCAGGGAAGAAATGATGTCCTAAGAGAAGAGCTAAATTAGGAAGAGGTTCGAGTTGATAATAATAGGTCAATTGTCAGGGTGATTAACGTGATCGTAGGAGGTAGCTCTATCTTGACGAAAAGGAAGTTTAACCCAAGCATGCTAATTGTAGTAGACACATTGGCTAAGAAAGAAAAAAAATGAAAAGATGAGTCAATCTTATTCAGCTCAAAAGATTTTGAAGAGATTTAACACCCATATGATATTGTCATAGTGATCATAGCCTTGGTATACAACTATGTGGTCAAAAGAATTCTATTTGACAATGGGAGTTCAATTGACATTATGTACTATGATTGTTTGAAGAAAATAAGGATCGACGAAGATCAATTAAAGATGATCACCAAAACATTAGTGGGGTTTGAAAATGAACAAGTGTCCGTATGAAGAACTATCAAGCTCTTGATCTCCTTAGAGACAAAGTCAAAAATGATTTCCTCGATCGTAGAGCTCATGGTAGTAAATGTCCCATCTGCTTACAACATGATATTAGATTGACTTAGCCAATCTGTTATGCAGCTCATAGGCTTAATTCCCTATTTGAAAGTGGAATTCTTAACACCAACAGTGGTTAGAGACGTTCGATGAGACTAATTCATAGCATGGTAATGTTATGTCACAATGATAAAGGGTAAGATTGGGAAGTAGACAGGTAGCTCGATCGATATCAAGGTAAAAAACAAAGAGAAATCAATATAGAGAATTGACAAAGAGCAGAAAATCATTGATAAAAACATAAAATGTAAGATTTGATATGGGAAAAGTGTACTCTTAAGCCGCTTTGAGCTTCTTCGCTCTGCAAAAGTTTAATTTTGTTTTATTTTTTTTAATTTTGAGGTAACAGTAAAAATGACTGAGCTCATAAGTGGATGTGAAAATTTTAATGTTACTTAGATCGAGCTAACACATCGGTCAAAATATAGTATTAAATGAATAATATACTTCACTTCTACTAATACATTTAATAAGTTGTTTAATAAACTAATCATCATGTCAGGATCTATTTTCATAAGAAATGATCCTGACTTAATGGAACAAAAAGAGATAATTGATCAAAACCTAGACTTGGACGTAAATCGACTCGACTCAACTGAAGACCTTATGATAATTTTGTTTTGGAACAACATTCTTAAAAAATACATACAGATTAGAGCCAAGCTCTAGTATATAGACCAACTGATTCAACTTATAAAAAATAAGGCCGACCTAGTTGCTTGGACATCATTTGATATGCCTGGGATTGTTATCGAAGTAATGGTCCATAGACTACATACCAATCTTGAGATTAAACCAGTTCAACAAAAAAAAAAAACTTTTGCCCTTGAAAGATAATAGACTATTGAGGAAGAGTTTGACAAATTATTACGAGCTGAGCCTTCTGGTACTATCTCTTGGATGAGCGCTATAAGGGTGTTATAACATTTTTCACGTGTATAGCACTTCTGAATCTAAAATCTAATTTTATGGATCAAAATGTATTATTTAAATATACCTAAGTCAATCTTGAGACCAGTTTTTAAATGAAACAGATTTAGTTGGGTGACCAATTGCACTTAAATAAAAAGGATTGTTATGATTCCTAAAATCCATGTGCAGTAATAGGTTTATGGATCTATATATTATGATAGTTTGATGATTCCACTGGAGAAATTCAGACTCAGGTTAGTAAATAATTTTTTATTATCTAAGCCTAGCTAACCAAATAAGTTTAAGATTTTTTTCTTTTTCTTGTTTGTATTTTATTTATTTATTTATGTTATATATTTATCATTTATTTACACATACATAACATGAGCTCTATATCTGAGTTTTATCCCTTAAGAAATAGTAAAGTACCTACGCCTTCATGAGATTTCATGTTTCTGTATGGGCTAATGAAAAACTCTAACTCCAATTTAATCTTTTTTCATTTGTAGCCTATAATGAGTGAGGATTAAAATGTCTTACTAATTTATAATAGACAAGGACATAAGAAATAATTTAAAAACTCTTAGACTATCAAACTTTTGAACCAAACAATCAACACTAATTGATGGATCCGCCAACGATACAAACTGTTAAAAATAATTCGGGTTAGCAAGACAGAAAATAACATATCATTATAGCAGATGCATGATGCAAAAAAAAAAATCATGTTGAAGTATTCTTAAAGTTTCACAGACTTAAAGCACAATAAACTTACAATTTTAACCTAAGACGAATATAGTTCAAATTTCATACCAACACGCTACTTAAATTAAGTAAAGAAATCAACTAACTACACCTTTCAATGCAAGCATGTAAGCAACATTAGATGGCACATTTCAAGATTCATGCCAATGTTTTTACATAAATTTTCTTAAGGTATATTCAGCAATCTCCAACAGTAAAATTTTACTTCAAATTTTCAAAAAGTCAAGCATGATATTTCAATTTCAGGAGTCTAACTACAGAAATTTCCCACTGCAAGCATATTCAGAAGCAAAAATTTTCTAGCATTTTTACGCTAGTGATTTAACATTGATGTACATTTCATAATACCAGAAAACCAACTTTCACCAAACAATCCATAAATCTGAGCAATAATAGATAACAATTTCGAGCATTTTTTAATTTATCTGCCCTTAAGATACATGTTAATGATGTAAGGAACAAAATAAACACTTATTTTCATCAAACAACTTAAAAATTAATGCAAAATTCTAGGATTTGCATGATCTTAATTGCATAAAACATATAGCTTTAGGATTCAAAACTTCACTCAATTAGGAAAATAAGTCAAAATCTAATTAAAAAAAAAAAACTCACCGATTATACAAAATAGCAAAGAATTATAAGAATAACTTCGATCAAAAACTTTTGCTCTTGCCAGTCCAAAAACACAAAGAGAAGTCAAGAAAAAAAAAAAAAAAACAAAGGGCCTAAAATCTCTAACAAAATAAAGCTCACCTCAGGATTTTTGTATGAAGAGAGGCGTTCAAAGATAAGATACATTGAAAGCGAAAGTGTTATGACTAAAAGCACCCTACTTAAATTTGATAAAAATAATATATTAAATAAAAATTTACCAAATCCTAATAAATTTATATAAACATCTCGACCTAAAAAATTAAAATTAAGTCAAGTTTATTTTTATTCATCATCGATTATGTTCATTTTCATTTGGCCCAAAAGAACAAGACATAAGCTTGGCTGTACACCACCTCAAAGCCTTTGATATGGTTAAGAATTTAAGCAATCAAATGTTTCCCACCCAAAGGAAAATGAAAAAAAAAAAGAAAAAAGAAGGGGGATGTTACAAAAAGTGTAATACCTTCGACAATCCAACTCACTCCATGGCCTCTTAGGCGGTTTATGCACATCGAGATAGACAACATTCCATTTGTGAACTCCCATTTCCCAAGGCTTATTTCTAATATAAGCTGTAGTCAATATCTGTATGAAAACAAGAAAGCATCCAATGAAATACCATAAAAAGTAGTTTATCATCCATATTCATATATGAAAACTCACATTAATGCACTCACTCATGAGATGAAAAAGACCAGTGGCACTGAGAATGCTCATATACCAGTTAAAAGACTGATGAATATAAATTTTCTACCCTTTTATCATTTACGGTCATGCAATAACAACAGAGGAGAGGACATTAGTAATTACCTTATTAAGATTGTTACAAAAAGTCTGCAAAGGAGTGGGGAATATTGTTAGATTATATCCTTAATTGAAGTAATGAATTATGAATTCGAAGCTAAATTAATAACATTTTTCATACCATAAAATGAATGTTTTGAAGAGGGATATTTTTGTTTCTTATGCAATCTAGGAGGTTACCAAAACCCCTAGAGCCTAATTCTAGTTCAAAAAAAAATAAAATCATACAGTTGGCTGCATTTATTAGACCTCATGTACAAATCTCAAACATATGCATAAATATAACGTATACACCGCAACACAGTACAATCTCAACATTATTACATTTCAAATTTTCAATAAATAAAGCATACCTTTTTTTTTTCTCGACGAAAGTATCAAAACCTTGATTGAGATCAGCTTCAATATCTTCAGTAATAAGACGCTTAAAATGCCTCTAATAATGTGAATAAAAGAAATATATGCAAAATGAGCTAATGATGAGGAGGACAAAAGAAATCCTATATAAGCAAACCTACTGAATAAACAACTATATAAAACTCTAGAAAGATTACCAAGCTGCGATCATCAAAGTAGACCTCTCCACGTTCCACACAGCTATGGCAAGCAAGTTCACATGGCTGTTAAATTTAATTAGCACATTTAGCAATAAAGACACAAAAACAAGTACAGAAAGACTTGGGATAATACTTCACATTACTTCAGTATATCAACTCTGAAATATTTAAGAATCATTAAAAAAAAAGGAAAAATAATTTACTCACATCCAGAAAAGCAATACATTTTCTAGATAATTTTAACTTTTTAAAAGCTTTAGCTCAAAAACAAAACGTTTATCACAATGTCTGTTAGCAAATTTGGAGCCGTACCTAAAACCTTGCCATAGAGGATACCAGACAACCAAGGATGCCTGCACCTCTATCATTCTGCTAGCAACCACGTCCAAAACCCCCTCTACTTGGGTTATTAGTGTTACAAATAACTAGCAACACTGCAAAAGAAACAGTGAGAAAGAAGATTACTTACCATTAAAACAGGGAGCAAAAATTCAAACAAAGATAAATTCAATTATTTCATGTATATATTCCAAGAAATGCAGACGTCACTAGTGAGCTAAATATTCCTACATGTTACTGTTAGAACTTAAAAAACAAGCTTCCCAAAATTTCATCACCAACCTAACAAAAGCTAAGGTGGGTTCACGAGCGAGCGGTCACGGGCTCAAGGGCTCTTCATGGGTCGGCGACGAGGAACAGAGAAAGGAGAGGAAGGGAGATATGAGAGGAGTGGAGAGAGAAAAGGACAGAGAAACTGATGAATTAGGAATTTCAATCAGGGAAGGGGATTTTTACATTTAATTGACTTTTAACAATGGATTACCAATGGAATTTCCGTCGTTAATTCAAAGTAATTTTGACTTTTAACAACAAATTATCAACGGAATTCATTGGTAATTAAAAATTTTTTCCTCTCATTTTACTTCCAATTTTTTTATTTTTTTTTTCGAAATTTCTTTACGTACAGAAAATTATCTGTCGGTGAATATTTTAGTGACAGATTTTTTTTCGTTTGTAAATCCTGCGCCAAATTCTCATTTTGCTGTGCCGACTTTACTTACGAAGTACCGACAAATTATTTTTCATCAATAATTCTATCAATAAAAAAATTTTAATTTTTTTTTTAGTTCTCTGTTGGTAAATTATCAGAAGTCTGTCAATAATTATAAATGAAAAAATTCTATCGATAAAAATTCATCAATATTAAAAAGATTTTTTATAGTATATTTGTATCTTAATAAAACATGCATATGAAATTTTGATTTTTTAAATATAAAAAATTAAAATATATATTTATTTATATGAATGCATGGCTAACATGTATCCATATCCTACGCTCATTTTGAAGTCAAGTAACTTTGAGATTACAACCTAATACGGAATTTCTACGATGATACTGTAGAATGGACGAAGAACATGAATGATTAAGAATTTATGCGAATCCTAGGAGGCATAAATATCATAGCCATTATTAATAATTAAGTGTTTACTGACGGGCTTCATAGCCTTGTTTGCATTTGCCTGTAGTTTATGGGCTTAGGAACTGAACAAAGCTGATGTTTGACTTAACGTCATCCCAAACCCATTTTTGAATTCCTTTGCGTTGGCCTGTTTGTGACCCTGCCCCTAAACAACAGGCCCACCAAACAGCTAGCTTCTTATCCAACCTCAGCAATTGCGAGGATTTAGAGACAAACAGAGAGAGGGATACCGAGGAGAGAGATGGAAACAAGCACTGAATTGTCTGCTAGAACCCTAAACCTAAACAATGGAGGAGAACCCAAAAGGGAAGAAGAGAAGCCGAAGGTGGTGGTAATAATGGGTCCAACTGGGTCAGGAAAATCACGTTTAGCTATTGATTTGGCGACCCATTTTCCTATTGAAATCATCAATGCTGATTCCATGCAAGTCTATCAAGGTCTTGATGTCCTTACCAACAAAGTTCCTCTCCATGAACAAAAAGGTTCGGCTTTTTATTTGTTTCTCTTTTTTTTAAAAAAAATTTTTTGGGAGGAAATTTCTTTAGATTTTTTCTTAATAGTTTATTAATTTTGTGTAGGAGTGCCCCATCATCTTTTGGGTGCTATTGGCTCAAGTGTGGAATTCACTGCCAAGAAGTTTAGGGATTCTGCAATTCCTGTGAGTTCATGTTGCTTTTTATTTTTCATTATGCCTGTTCTTTTCAGCTTACATGTTTGTGGTTTTTCCAAGGTTTTATATCTTGTGGCTTTTGTTACTTAGCTTTTTGTTTGCTCAAAAGTTGTAGTGAAGTAAAAATAAATGGTTGAAAGGAAAATCCTAATTGAGTAATAATCAATGAACGACTATTGCAACGCATTTTCTAACTCAATTATATATAAGGGAATCCATGCATTTTCTTATTTAAACAATTTTAATTTTTAATTTTTAATTCTTAAAAAATATGTTTGCTTTTGTATTCAATGAAAATTTATTTTTCTTTGTGATTCTGGAAGCAACATGCAAGTAGGAAAAGAAACATCCATATGGGAGCCTAAGTGTCCTAGAGCCTTTTTTATATGGAATATAATACACCATGAGACTTAAGGTTGACAAAATTCTAGACAAATTTTCTGTTAATTCAGATTACCGTTGCCACTCGTTTCCATTTTTTTTCCCCTACTATCTTAATTTTTTCCTGGCCAATTTATTTTAGATCTTCTTCTATGCTTGATTTTGGAGAACATTTTGGAATAAGTATTTATGGACATGCTTTCCCTCTATTCGTGCACTTTTTGCCACAGTGAGTGTATGGAGGTCAAGAAGCATCTAGTTCAATATTCATATTTCATGTTTCTTGACCATAACTTATAGTTTCAGCTTAAAAAATGCATGTCTATTGTCACGTTACATAACTCTCTTTTTTAGTTGTCTGGCCATTATTCATGCTAAATACTTTTTTATGTTATTGTTCACTATCATTTAATCTCTATTTAATTCGTGCTATTGTACTTTCAGATCATTAGTGACATATTATCTCGCAACTGTTTGCCAGTCATTGTTGGAGGCACCAATTACTATATTCAAGTAAGCAATTGTTACTTATGTGATTATTCATCTTTAGTAAAATCAGATGGAGTTTATAACACTGGCATGGTTTAAGCCTTCTTGTGTATGAAGGTGGTTTTAATCCTTATGACTAATAATATGCTATGAACTAAATATTTCTTTAACGAAAAAATGTTTTGCTTGTACTTTTTGTTCACTTTGCGCTGGGGCTTTAGATTATTTTGTTCTTTCCTCTAGCAAATTTGATGGTCAACAATGTTCTTCCGGGCAATGCAAACATTTTCTACCATAATATCTTGCCTAATGCTCGAACATAGCGAATTATGTCCAGTTCCAGGGGGAATCACGTCTCCCATTGTGTCTGTCTCTCTATTTGTGCTTCTTCTTTCTTTTCTTTTTTTTTTTTAAATTTTGTCTCTTCCTATTTATTTAGAGTACAAGCAAATTAGCTTTTGTTCTTCTCTCATTGTCAAATTTATAGTTTAGTCCTTGTATGTAGGCTCTGGTGAGTTCATTCCTTCTTGATGATTCAACAGAAGATATGGATGAAATATACTCAAGCGCCCTTCCTGGTATGTAGGAACCTCTTGCTTTGAATCATTCTAAATTACTAAACTATTGATATTGTTTAAATTGTAACAGGAAATCAGCAGACCGATCATAAGGCTGATTTCCAGGGAGACAGTTGCAATTATAGCTATGATCTTCTGAAAGAACTTGATCCAGTTGCAGCAAACAGAATTCATCCAAATAATCAAAGAAAAGTAGGGACCTATTTTTCATGTATTCTTTACTTATCGATATGCATAGAAAGTCTGCATTTATCATATGCTTATCTTGTTATGGTGCTGGGTTTTGTTATATTATGTTTTTGCTACTAATGCCTACCAAATATTGCTGTGTATCTTACCAAAATCAATTTATAATGAAAATTCAAATTGAGCTAAGTGTAAAAGCACAAGTAGATGATGAATTACATTTTGGCTTCTTGGAATTGTTAGTTTTTTTTCCAGAGCAGTTATTGGTAGAAAGCTCAGTTTCTTACTTCTTTCAGTTTAACTCATCTACTTAGATGCAACCAATAGCTTGAGAGTTCTAAACTATGAAGCTTATTAGACAAACTTGAAATTAAGGTCAACTTAGTCAGCTATACAAAGCACAAGTGTTAAAAATTGTTCTGTTAATGGAACTAAAATGGTTATTTCTTCTGCAAAAGGTTTCAAGGGTTTCTATGATGTGCTTGAGACTTGGTTGTAGAGTTACTTATCTAACTAAGATGTACCGTATATTCGTTCCTGACATTGGTTCAATTTCGCAGATTAAACAATACCTTAGTCTATATGCTCGTTCTGGTGTTCTTCCCAGCAAAGTTTATCAGGGAAAGGCTGCAGAGGTTTGTGATCCATAACTCATGTTCATGGGTCTTGATCTTGTGTACCATCATGAAGTTTAACTTTGTCTTCTTTGTTTTTTAAATTCTTTTATAAGACATTTAATGCTGTTTTGATTTAGAAAGACTGAGCAGAAATAATAATCATTATGACTAAACTAACATTTCTTGAGGGGGAGATGACACTGAGCTGATCTACTTGCTTTTCAATTTTGATAAATTCTGCATGTGGCAGGGCAGAACTGGGGCCGAGTTGATAATTCTAGATACAGTTGTTGTTTTATATGTGTCGATGCTGCCACTCCTGTGCTGGATCAATATGTGGAACACAGGGTAGACTGCATGATAGATGCTGGGTTGCTTGATGAAGTTTATGACATTTACAATCCAAATGCAAATTATACTCTAGGTCTGCGACAGGCCATTGGTGTTCGAGAATTTGAGAATTTTCTTGGAGCTTACTTTTCTGACAGCAGGGATGATGAGACAAGTGATTTTTCTGGTTGGAATACCTTAAAGTGGTCAACGAGGATGGATGATAAATTGTTAAAAGAAAATATAAGGGGAATACTAAATTCCTCTAGTGATAACCTACAAAAAATTATGTTAGAAGAAGCCATTGACAAAGTAAAAGCAAACACCCGGAGACTTATTCGTCGTCAGGTAAGTCTATCTTGTCACATTGTTGATGATTTTGGTAGACCTGAATTACTGTTGGAAAGCTTTCAGTGCTGCTGGCAATTCAAATACGTTCATAAAACTAACAATTTTTATCCCTGAGATACCCATTTTCAGAAAAGTTTTCAAATTTGTTTTAGGATTTTGTTAATTTTGGTCTTTTCTTTGCTTTCTTCTGCCTCTTCCTTCTACAGATGCTTCTGACCGTGGATAAGTATAAATTACTGAACATTATTTGCCAATTGGCATTCAACTAATCTGATTCTATATAACTTTCAATATGACAGATTCGATATTGGTGACTTTAAGAATATTTTTGCAGATAAATAGTTCCACTAAGTATTAATTTTGACCTGTTCTGAAATTGAGTTGTTTCTGGCACTCAATTTAAGACCACACTCTGAATCTATTAAAATGGAAGCTATATGGCGGTTTGGTGGCTATAAGCCAATTTGTGGAATTTATTAGCATGCAAAATGTTGTTTTGCAGAAAAGGAGGCTCAATCAACTTCAGACATTGCTTGGATGGAATATTAATTATGTTGACGCAACGGAATCTATATCGAGTACACTCCTGCAGTCCTTTACATTCCTATTTATTTTTCAATTGAAAAACTCATCTTCCCTGTTCTTGGGTGAATCATCAATTTGATTGATCATTTCTATATTCCAGGCAAATCTGATGAGTGTTGGGCAATGCAAGTGGTTGTACCTGCTGTGAAAATCATTAAATCTTTCCTCAACGGGGATGATGGGACAGAGTGTGCTTTGAATGGGGAAAATAAAACTATAATGGACACAGTCCAAAGGGACTTGTGGACTCAATACATATGCAAGGTCAGCCATGGCTGAAACGAAACCAGTCTGATAATTTTCATTTACCTTTGTGTGTTACAATTTACTTGCTGTTAAGCTGAAGGTTCTGGTTTTGAAAATTTTTAGCTTATAATTTTTTTACCAGCAGGCCTGCGGAGATAGGGTACTTAGAGGAGCACACGAGTGGGAGCAACACAAGCAAGGCCGCGGGCATCGAAAGCGAGCATCTCGGCTCCGGAAGGCTAAAGTTTGTCCTTAGCAGCAACAAAAACATCTTTGGACAATGATGAAATTTCAACCATTTTTAAAAGTATTTATCTTGAACTTTTTTATGACTTGCATCATATTGGACTCTTTGGTTTGGCATGGGTTTTATTTTTCTTATAATTATTAATTATACATTTTTATTTGATGGGTTAATTTTATTTAATTTTATAATTATTTAAGTCTCTTGTTTGAAATTTTTGTATTAAAATAATTTTAATTCAAAGTCATTATAATTACTATATTTGTTATTTTTATTTGTAGGATTTTGATATATTATTTTACAAAATATCAATTTTAATTAAATTTAATTGATATTTATCTATTTTCAAATAATAATAGTAATAGTAAAAATTTTTTTAAATCAGCAACAAAATGCGGCTCTCATACTAGCATATCTAATAAGTAATATGTAGATATTTAATTTTTTTAAAGATATTTTATTTTTTTAATTTGGATTTGTTTCTATAATTGGTTTTTGATTATTAATTTTTTGGAATAATTAATAGTTCATTTTTAAGTGCTTTGATACGAGGTCAAACGTGGATCTCATATGGTGAAGATCATTGTATTGGTTCGAATGATATTCCAAAGAATGATAAAAGGTCAAGAATGATAAAAGGTCTGAGAAATGTTTATTCTTAAAAGTTCATCAATGATATATTGATGTTATTAAATGAAAATTTTAAATAAATAAAATATAAAATATAAAATATAAAAAATTATTAAATTAATTATTAAATATAAAATATATAAAAAAAATTTTGGCATAAAATAAATGAGTCCAAATGAAATAAAATGAAACAAATATGTAAAAAAAAATAAAGGCCAAAGTGACTCCAAATGGGAACTTTTTTCATGTAAAAAAAGAAAAAAAGAATAGTCAAACCATTTATTAGTTTGCATTAGGCTTAAAGCCTTTACATTTGTTACATACATAAAAAAGAAAAATAAGAAGAAACGGCTTGGATAATGTGCGAGGAAGAAAAAAAAAGCTAAAAGCCAAAAGTGGGAGGCTGCTAATTATTGAAACAAGAAACATGAAAATTGAAGATAAGCCAGGGTTCGTGGAAGGGTTGAGTAGAAAAAAAACTTAAAAAAAAAAAGCAAATAAGAACCAGTAGGAGGTAGAACAGAAAAAAATTGAGCAACTAAAAAAAAATGAAAGTAAACATTGAAAAAAGATTGGGCTGCCAAAGTAAACCAGAAAAGAGTAAAAAGAGGAAATAGTAGTGCAAAACAAAAAAACAAAAAAAAACTGACAGCTAGAACGTGAAAATAGGTAGAAATAGAAATTGTAAAAGATACCAAAAAACACTGGGCAACAAAAAAAAATTGAACAGAAGAAGAAAAATGTGGGAAAGGCTTTGAGAAGAAGAATAAAATCCAAAAAAAAAAAAGAAGAGAAAAGCGAGCAAGACGTAAAGTAGAAAAAAATAACAAAACAAAAGAGGTATCCAAAAAAACTAGGCATAAAAAGAAAGGATTGGAGGCTTTTATGAATGGAGGTGAAAAAAATTAGCAATAGAAAAAGAAAAAGGAAAAAGGAAAAAAAAAGAGAGGCCAGTAATAGGCAGAATACAACAACAAAAAGAGTAGAAAAAAAGGTGAATAGTAGAAAAGGAAAAAAAATTAGAAGTAAGAAGTGAGAACGGTGACAGTAAACACCAAACAAAAACAAGTAAAAAAATAGCAAAAGCAAAAAAAAGAGAAGGCAGTAAAAAAAATGAGCAGCAAAGAAGCAAAAATAAAAAGTCTAGCAAAAAAGGCTAAAGTTGTTTAAAGCAAACTTACTGGAAGAAGGTTCTTATGATTTTGTTGTTGAAGGGAACATTGTGCTAAGACTTCCTCCGTCAAACATGTGGCCTTAACATTTTCTGTAACTGCAATCGCATACAATGAAAATTCTCGAACTCTAGATATTGTGATTGATGAAACTTGGTTTATTGATCCTGTTTAGTGTAAGGGCTTAAAGTTTTGGTATGTAGTCTTAAAAATGATAGTTGAGGATGCTGCCTGGAAATTTTGAAAATAAAAGGGCCTTTTTGTCATTATCCCAAACAAATTAGTAAATGGACTTCACTTTTGCAAGGTATAAGATTTGTTTGATTTTTATTTTAAATTTGTTTACACTTCTTGCATATTTCATTTTGCGCTTATATGTCTTTTTAACCCGTTTATTCTCTTCTTTATTTTAATATTTGTTTATTCATTTTTGTAATTTATTGTTCCATCTTTTCTTTACATGTGCCTTGTTCTTATTTGCTCACTATGTATGTATGTCATTTGTCTATTTCTCGTATTATATATGTTTTATTTGGTGCATCACCAACTATAATGATTTAAATTGGCAAAAATGGTTATTGAAATAGTTTTTTTTATGTCTATTAATATTGTTTGAGGATTTCTAAGAATAATAATTGTAGTAATAAATAAAAATACAAATACTCTTGATAGGTGAGATCATACTCTTGATGGGTGAGATCATACTAGAATAATTTGCACAACAAATGATGGGTGAGATCATACTAGCACTAAAACATTGGATCTTATCAGAACTTCGCAGTTAAACGTGTTTGGGCAAGAGCACATGAGAGTAGTATTAGGATGGATAACCTCTTAGGAAGTCCTAGTGTTGCACTTTAATTTTTTTTTATTTTTCGCTTTCTGTTCATCATTATTACTATATGTTTACTCATTGACTACTATTCATAATGATTAATCCATGAAGGCATGAGAAATTGATCAACCTTTTTTAGGTGTAGTAAAAATTCTAGGGACAAGGGCCTACGTGGGATATATCGAGCAATATATAGGAAAGGAAGGATTGGATACATAATTTGAGCAACAAGTGATGGGTACAATCATATCAGTATTAAAGCACCGAAAGCACCGGATCCCATCAAAACTTTACAATTGAACATGCTTGGACGAAGGTAGTACTAGGATAGGTGATCTCTTGTGAAGTCATCATGTTGCACCCTCAATTTTTTTATTTTTCATTTTTTGTTCGTCGTTATTACTATATATTTATTCGTTGACTACTATTCGTAGTGATTAATTGGTGAAGGCATGAGAAATTGATCAACCTTTTTTTGGCATTGTAAAAATTTCGGAGACGGGAGCTTGCGTAGGATATATTGAGCAGTTTACAAAAAGGGAAGGGTAGGATATATAATTTGTACAACATATGACAGGGGTCATCATACCAGCACTAAAGCATCAGATTTCATCAAAACTTCATAGTTAAATGTGCTTAAGTGAGAGTAGTATTACGATGAGTGACTTATTAGGAAGTTCTTGTGTTGCACTTCACATTTTTTTTTATTTTTTGCTTTTCGTTCATCATTATTACTATATGTTTATTCGTTGACTCCATTCACAATGATTAATCGATGAAGGCATGAAAAATTGATCAACTTTTTTTTGGGTAGCAGAAATTTCGAGGATGGGAACCCGTGTGGGATATATCAAGCAACATATGAGAAAGCAAGGGTCGAATACATAATTTGTGCAACAAGTGACATGTGTGATTAGACCAACATTAAAGCATCAGATCTTATTAGAACTCCGTCGTTAACGTGCTTAGATAAGAGTAGTATTAGGAATGGTGACCTCTTAGGAAGTCCTTGTGTTGCACCTCACATTTTTTTATTTTTTGCTTCTCGTTCACTGTTATTACTATATGTTTATTCGTTGACTACCATTCATAGTGATTACTCGATGAAAGCACAAAAAATTAATCAAAACTTTTTTTGGCATAGCAAAAATTTCGGAGATAGAGACTTGTATGGGATATATTGAGCAGTGTGTGGTAAAAAAAGGGTAGGATACATAATTTGCTCAACAAATGATGGGTGTAATCATACCAGCACTAAAGCACCAGATCCCATTAAAACTTTGTAGTTAAGCATGCTTGGACGAAAGTAGTATTAAGATGGGTGACTTTCTTGAAAGTCTTTGTGTTGCACCCCACATTTTTTTTTATTTTTCGCTTCGTTCATCGTTATTAGTATATGTTTATTCGTTAACTATAGGTTGTAGTAATTAATCGGTGAAGGCACGAAAATTTGATCAACTTTTTTTTTGACGTAACGAAAATTCTGGGGATGATGGCCCGTATGGGATAGATCGAGCAACATACAAGAAAAGAAAGATCTAATACATAATTTATGCAATGAAAGATGGGTGCAATCATACCAGCATTAAAACACTGGATCCTATTAAAATTTCGTAGTTAAGCATGCTTGGACAAAAATAATATTAGGATGGATAACTTTTTGGGAAGTTCTCCTGTTGCACCCCACATTTTTTTTATTTTTTGCTTTTCGTTCATTGTTATTACTATATGTTTATTTGTTAATTACCATTTGTAGTAATTAATTGGTGAAGGCATGAGAATTGATCAAGCATTTTTTTGTCATAGCGAAAATTTCAGGGATGGAGGCTCACATGTGATATATCGAGCAGCATACAAGAAAGGAATAGTTAGATACATAATTAGCGGAATAAGTGTTGGGTGCGGTCATATAAGCACTAAAGCATTGGATCCCATCAGAACTCCATAATTAATCGTGTTTGGACGAGAGTAGTATTAGGATGGGTGACCTTTTAAGAAGTCTTCATGTTACACCCTAGATTTTTTTATTTTGCATTTTTCATTCATCGTTATTACTATATGTTTATTCATTAACTACTGTTCGTAGTGATTAATCGTTGAATGCATGAGAAATTGGTCAACTTTTTTTTAGCATAGCAAAAATTCCAAAGACGAAGTCGATCAACCTTTTTTTTAGCATAGCGAAAATTTAAGGGATGATGGCCCATATGGGATATATTGAGTAGCATACAGGAAAGGAAGGGTCGGATACATAATTTGCGCAAGAAGTGACGGGTGCGATCATACCAGCACTAAAGCACCGGATCCCATCAGAACTCCGCAGTTAAGCGTGCTTGGGCGAGAGTAGTACTAGGATGGGTGACCTCCTGGGAAGTCCTCGTGTTGCGCCCTACTTTTTTTTATGTTTCACTTTTTGTTCGTTGTTATTACTATATGTTTATTTATTGACTACCATTCGTAGTGATTAAATGGTGAAGGTATGAGAAATTGATGAACATTTTTTTTTTACGTAGAGAAAATTTCAAA